GGGTTATAGCTTTGAGACCAGGAGCTGCTGTGCGGAGCTGAGAAAATTAGCCCGTTGAAGTGAGAAATGGGATTTCTCTGCTGCCTCTTTCCCCGTCATTGACCAGCACCCAGGAATCTGGTCTCTTGGCAATGAAGGATTAATCAAAGCTGCTGGGTGTAGGCAGAATTTTGTGTCAGTCTCTTGGCAGCAACAAATCTTTTCCAGCACAAATAGATAATGGCAGAAAATCCTGATGCCAAAGAGTTAATGACAAGGGCATCAGGCTTGGAGGTAAACTTGCACCCTTAGGTCCCTGGGGTGCTGTTCTGAGCCCCTTAGAAGAACTGATGAGGTTGGAGGAGAGGGCGCCGCAGTGCTCCTCGGGCTAGCTTGATCAGCAGCAGGTTTGGAGAGGGGCTGCAAGAAGAACGGAATTATTTTCGAGTCTTAAATCTTCTCCCCGCCTCCTGTGAGGTGCATGCGCTCGCGTGCCTCCACCAGCTGACACCTGACAAGAATGAGACTGCTCACCCTGCAGCGTGACTGTCCCCGAGCATGGCGTGCCTGGCTGCCCGCCCCGCGGCTTTGCATGCTCCTTGTTGGCTCCGTTTCCTTTACGCAGAGGTTGGGGACTGCTGGGAGCACCTCAAAAGGAACTGCGCAGTCGGGGCAGCGGGATGGTTGCATCGACCAAAACTGGTTTTATTTTTTTTCCATCTGTTCCATGCTTAAACCTTCCAGCAGTGAACTTGAAAGAAATGGAAGAAAATGTGTCCGTACTGGTACTTACCAGCAGGCGCTTTTAGAAGAGTAAAGGAGCAGAGACTTTTTCCTCCTGCCAGGACTGCGGCATCCAGCATGTCCTTAATGCAGAGCTGGATCAGGGATGTGAGCAGGGGCCAGAACATCACACCCCCCACATCCTTACAGAGGAGGGCTCTTTGTTTGCTGTCCCTCTCTTACACCCACCCACGTGCCCACAAGGTAGCGGTGACAGCACTGAGCAGCTCCGAGGTGTCCTGCAGGCCATGGCAGATAGCTTAGCCCCATTTCCTGGAGGGGTAACTTCCCTCCAGGGTGATGCAGGACGATCCTGTGCAAAAGAGCAGTCCCTGTAGAGGTGGTAAACGAGCTGGAATTCTCTACTGTAGCTTGCTTTGTGTTCCTTTGTGCTGTCCCTACCTTAAAGCTCTGGAGGGAGGGAAGTCTTTTTGTTCTGGTACTTAGGGAGCACCGACTGCAGCCTCCGGGGCTGACCCCCTCACACAGTGTAATATTAGAACTCGGGTAACTTCGTTAAACTGCTTCTAATTTTTTCTTTTCCGTTTTCTCCTCTGTTCCTGACACAAGGAATTGTGGAAACGTGTTCTGCTCCAGTTGCTGTAACCAGAAGGTGCCAGTTCCTAGTCAACAGCTCTTTGAACCCAGCAGAGTCTGCAAATCGTGCTACAGCAGCTTGCACCCAAGCAGTTCCAGCCTTGATCTCGAACTGGATAAACCCATCACTGCCACGTCTAATTAAAGTTCCAGCCTAGAAGCAGCGGGGAGCAGCCGCGTCGACTCTTCCCCGCACAGACATGCACATTCTCGGTGGGCTGAGGCTGGGAGGAGGAGGAGGGAGCCGTGCACTTTGGAGGCTGGGGCGTGGAACACTGCTCGGCGGGACAGACCTCGAGGACGTACCGCTGGATTGTGGGAATCTCCTTTTCCAGCTATTCCCCCTTTCCTTTCTGTCCTATTTGTGTGTATGTGTGTGCGTGTCCGCGCCTGTGTGTGTGTATATATATATAATAATATATATATGTTTGCTTGTTTGCTGGAAGATTGTGGAAGTGGGAAGGGGGCTGGCACCGGAACCAGATTTCCCTCGTGTATTTAACTGCCCCACTGCTGAACTGTGTTGCAGACAGACGATTTTATGGAGGAAAGGAGAAGAGGGGAACCAGCCCAGCCAGTGTGCAAAGTGAATACCTGTAGCGTCAGTGCTAGTGCTTTCAATCACTCCTGTTAACTTCCAAACAAGAAACTGCTGTTTGGGAACTCGTTGCTGCTAGAAGAAATGGGAATCTCTTTCCCAAGAGAGCACTCTCCCTCTCTGTTCTTAGAGTGGGCTTAGTTATCCTCACTGCGTGAAGGGGGGATCAGTCACAGATTTCCACGCTCCGCGGCTCTGTGCTCACACACACAATCAACAGGTTTTATCGCCGCCAGCCCTCTGGCTGTGGCTCTGAGGGAAAACACCCGGACAACGGTGGCTATGGAAAGTGCGCGCGAGTTTGAGAGAGGTGAGAAGGGGATTGACCAGGCTGCCGAGCCGAGATTGGTTTTACACTGGCGCCTCTGTCTGAAGGTCTGTAAATGCAATTCGTTATTTAAACCCAGCGGGAAAGTAGAAGACCTTCGACTTCTATCCTTGTCCCAGCTGTAGGTTGGTTTACTCAACGCAAAGCGACTTCTGGAGCTGTGCACTTGTCATGGTTCGTACAAACAGTCTGTCGTGCTGTTGGTTAGACCCGCACTTTAACGAGACTATCCACAACAACGAAAGAACAACTGTGATCTGCTGGTATTTTCGCTGAGCTCAGTCCAGGAGTGCAGTGGTGCTTGTCATATTCCTGGGATGTCTCCTCCTTTTTCAGTCTGTATCCAATATACTCCAGATAGGAAAAAACCTGCCTGAGGATTATATAAAGACCTAAAACACATCGTGGATTCCCCTTCTTCCTTCTGTCCCAATCTGAGTCGCTTTTAAAGTCACCTCATTAAAGTGTGAATCTCTTGAATATATGTTTTTAAATGAGCGTTAGGTAGTCAGCCCCTTTTCCCTTTCGATAGAGCCTGCTTAGTGCAGTTTGGCAAGGAAGAAACGCGTACGGTAATATCCTGCTTCACAACGCATTGCCTAGACCAAGGTAGGACTTCTCTTGTGGTATTCTCAAGAACACACAAATCCTGCTGGAGTATTTGAGGGTTTTAAATATAAAAGGTCAAAAAAAAATAAAATCTAACAAGTCTCGGGAGAGGAGCGCATCCCTTCCCTGCAATGTCACAATCACGTAGTCCAAAGTGAGGATCACACAGAGAAAACCATCTGGGAGTATTTATTAGATCTGATGGGGAAGAAATGACAAGGTGTGTTGTGTTTGGCGTTGGAACTTCCCACACCCTTTGCCAGGATTGTTAACGCTGCCGCAGTTTGAGCTGAAGACTCACAAGATAATGAATGTCTCGGAGGCTTAGCACAGCCGCCTGTGTCCTTACGGGAAGGGGGTCTGGTAACAGAGCATCTCCCCCGTACACGTTTCTAAATGGTTTGCAAACCATCGGGTGGGAAAAGCAAAGAAAAAGCTGGGCTCTCCGGTCGAGTTGTGTCTCTAAGAACTTGCTCCTGAAGCAGTGCAGTAAATCTGGAAGAGGACTCTAGGCATTGCTGTGTGGTGTGAAACAGAGGGAGCTGGAGCGGGGTAACACGCAGCTCCCGTCTCTGGCTCATCCTCGGAGGTGGGCGATGAGAGGTGTGACCTAGGGGACATGGTGTAGTTCTGCACACTAACATTGTGTGGTTTTTGTGGTGCAAATAGACAGTCAAAAATAAGTCTAAGATTCTGCAGTTCATAATGACAGGTGCCAAGAGGTTATGATACGGGTTTTTGGGGTCTGTGATGTACAGTGTGAATAAATGCTTGCAGCTCTTAGTCTTTTTTTGATCGATGAAGCACTTTTTTATTAATATTAGTTTTCTTTGTATGTAAAGGAGGAACCAGTATCTCTCCATAGCTGTATATATAACCCTTCTCTCCTAAAGAGAGTAAAGTGCTCCTATATTTTTCATTTTTGTCAAAGCGAGAAGTAAATACTTTAGAATTGTTAAATATATAAATAAAAGTGAATAAAGTTTAGAATTTTGCATGGGAGCATTTGCTAACACACTTTCTAGTTTTTTATTTTTCTTTCCTGTCCTTCACAGGAGATACATTTGAGGTTCAGCAGAAACACCAAGGCCTTTGAAAAAGGAGGCTGCAGCAGCCTCCCCTCGCTTTCTTTTCCGTTGTGTCTTTGCAAGGAACAACAAATTGTTGCTCCTAAGCTTAGAAGAAAATTTACCCAGCTTGGTTTTCCTGGTGCACCAGGAGTCCCGGGGAGGGGGGAGAGGTCACCACCCAGACGTACCATCAGGTGCTCCCTGTACAACCCGCACAGTTTTCTCAGAGGCTGGAGAACTGTGTAAGAGTTCTGCCCCTTGGTTCCTCGTTTTTCTTCTTCACAGACCATCACATTTCAGAGCGTGATCCAGTGATGCCAGCCCAAATGTAGGAGTGGCCCATGACACCAGGGAGGTCACCCTGCTTTCAACGGCATTTGGCAGAGGAACCTTCCCTTTCTTTTCCCTTTTCCCTTTTTTTCCCTTTTCCCTTTTTTTCCCTTTTCCCTTTTTTTCCCTTTTCCCCTTTTTTTTTTTTCCTTTTTTCCCTTTTTTTTTTTTTTTTTTTTTTTTTTTTTTTTTTTTTTTTTTTTCCTTTTTTTTTTTGCTTTTCCCTTTTTTTTGTTCCTTTTTTTCCCTTGTTTTTTTTTTCCCTTTTTTCCTTTTTTTCTTCCCCCTTTTTCCCTTTTTTTTTTCCCTTTTCCCTTTTTTTCCCTTTTCCCTTCTTTTCCTTTTTCCCTTCTTTTCCCTTTTCCCTTCTTTTCCCTTTTCCCTTTTCCCTGGTGGAGCTGTAGCTCTTGGGGAATAAACCAAACCCACTCAGGTTTAAAATCTCATCTTTTCCCAGAAGGTGAAAAACCCAACTGCTGTGTGTCCTGTCTCGCACAAAGGTTCTTGTTCTCCTAGGGCTGTTTGGCTGTTTCAGCAGCGTGGCTGCAGGCACTTCCATCACATGAGCTCATCCTCATCGCTTCTTACATATTTTAAGTCGAGGGAGAGGATTTGTCCTGAATTCTCAGGAAGGCTGAAGAGCTTCTTGAGCAACTGCGAGCTATTTTGGGGCAGGCCTGTTCTAGTCACAAGATGTTGTGCACAATTGCTTTATAATCTGAAGGTATTTATTTAATCAAATAAAACTGCAGGTTCTGGGCAGAGCTGTGAGCACAGCTGGTGGTAGTATTTTCAGCTTCAAGAAGTAGAAGAAAAAAAAAGGTATAGAGAATGTTTTTGCATTATTCAGAACATGCAAAGGAACAGCGGGTTTTCAATTACACACCAGCGTTTGATTTCATATAGCTCCTTTCACACTTGAGTTCCTTCTGAGTGCTTTTTCAGTGACCCATTCCTCCAGCACAGTGGCTGCAGGCTGCGTGCGTGCCACTGCTCAGCCCTGGGCACGGCGCTTCTCGGATGTCCCCATTAAAGAAACGTGGAGCAAACCCTGAACCCCGTGAGTCCTGCGCGGGAGTCGGAGGACTTTTACCTTCCCCGTAGCGGAGCCAGCAGCATCACCTGGCAGCTCTGTGAGGGGAGCACCCAAGCGGCATTTCCAGTGATCGATTCTTCCTAACGAGCATCCTTTCCTCTTTTCTTTTGTTCCAGCTCTGAAACAGCCCGAAAACCCAAAGGGAGGGCAGAGCGGCTGTCACAGCGCGCGGCTTCGGTGCTGGCTGCCCTGCTGTGGTTTTCTTAAAACGACCTCCTCCTGCACAGGCCCTGCGAGCAGCTTATATCTGCTGGGGGTGAGGGAAAAACCGATCCCTTTGAACGCCCCCCGGCCACAGGCAGGACGGCAGCGAGCCCAGCAGCAAGAGGGGGTGGGCAGCAGCGATGCTGCAGGCTGGGCACAGCTTCATCCTACAGGAGGGTGAGCACAGGGGGTGAAAAGCTGAAAGCTCTTCCTCCAGGAGTGAAGGGGAAGAGGCTGTGGAGGAGCACGAGGGGCTGCCGGGGCGGGATGGGGTCCAGGCCTGGAGAAGGTTTGGAGCTGAGGTTGCGACGGGAACAGCCGCCTGCAGGAGCGCTGAGCTGATGCTGAGGTCACGGAGCAGATCCGGGGGGTCCGGATCTTTGTGGTTCTGTAACTGTCCCTCTAGTAGGTCCTGAGTTACTCAGCACAAGGAATTGAGGAAACGGGGTCCAGAGGTGGTTACGAGGCGGCGTCGAGTTGTGCTGTGCTGGAAGGGGACGCAGAGACGTGGCTCAGACGCTGCCGAGGGGAGGTCGGTGCTCTGGGCTCGCTCACGCGCAGGGGCCCCATCGGGTTTTACAGCAGCTTCAGAGCTGCCCTCAGCCAGGTTTGGCAGCGCTTGGGAATTGCAAGAGAATTACACGGGGTTACCTGTTGTGCTTAGAAAGCAAAAACAGCGATTTAGGCTCCGAGCTGAACAAGGAATGTGAGCAAATGCAGCTCCTGCTCGTGCAGCGCCCACAGACGGGCGAGGAGCTGCGAGGAGCCGCGGTTGCTCCTGCTGCTGGGTTTTGCTCTGAAGGACGCGCGGGCGATGCTCCCACCCTGTACCCTCACAGCCAGACAGATTGCTGAAGCCAGGGCACGTGAAGTTTCTGGTTTGCAATATTTTTAATGATTTTTATTATTATTATTCCAATTCAACTCAGTTCTTTGTTAAGCAGGGAATCCACCAGCAGAAACAGAGATGGAGCCTTTAAATAGAGCCCCCTCTGTGCAAACCTGACCCCACACCACAAGGAAATGCCATTTTTGGGGCAGAGGGATAACAGGTTCCTATCTCCTCATTTTACACTCATAACACAGGCATTGGAGCTCAGATTGTTGCATTTCGGGATCGAAGGCTGCCGTACTCTTCAACTTTCAAAATTTTTTAAATGCTGCTAAAGTTTTATCTTACTATTTAACAAACATTTTTTAAACTGATTTCCCATAGTTGCTATGAAATGATTTTTACCTTGCAGTGGCAACAGGTGATGCATTTGATTGTAAATTTTTTTTTTGGTGGAATTTGTATTAAAATGGCATCTGAAGTCTTGATTAATAACTTCAAGAACATGAAATGTTTTAAAACAGGCACGCCCATGAGCACAGAGAGCTGTTTAGCATCAGCACAAAGTGTTAGACCCTAGTGCTTATTTGTTTGTAACAGCATTTATTCTGCTGTAGCCTCAGAGTGAATATTTAGATCTTAATAAATTTGTCATTTCCTACACAGTGGCAATTTTACAGTCCTTTGTGTTTTCTGTATTGGCGCACTTGCAGGGCTCCCTCTTCGTGGGGTTTATTTTTAGGCAAATTATAGCTCACAAATTGGGAAAAAGTAACTTCCAGCGTTCAAATAAATACCTGAAATCCACCTGAGGTTTTCCCAGCCCAAGTGTTATTTATCCACCTGGCTGCACACAAAGCAGACGCAGAGGAGCGATGCAGTGAGAAGCCCTTCGGTGCTGCCCTGGCTGTCACCTGTGTGACTCGAGGGAAGCTCCCGTGGCTCAGCGCTGTGCTTGGCCCTGCCTGAGGACAGACAGAGCCCCTGGGTGCTCCTTCCCTGTCCACCACAGCCCTCTGCTTCCCGTCACTGCTCTGCCTGTGCTCCTGCTCCCTGGAGGTGGCTTCAGGTCCTCTGCATCTACAAGTTTTGGTCTCTGTAAAATGTTGGTGACTCGTGCTCAGCAACCAGCTCCCTTCTCTCTTCCCACTCTCTTCCTGGCTGCCGGTGGCACTTCGCAGCTACGTATCCCCATTGTCTTCGCTCTATTGTTTCTCTTGTTATTATCAACTTTCTGATTAAACTTTTAGTCATCGGGGTAATACCACACAGGCAGACTGACGTGCTGCGTGTGAAGAGAAGCATGCAGTCGATAACAGCCAGATGTTTGCTTTGGTGGAGCAGTACTGGATTTCAGTCTAAAACTTACGTCAGAATTTATGTCAGTAAATTGCAGCATCATTATGACATACACATAGGAAATGAATAAGAGGTCAAAAGTGTTTTTTTTTCTTTAATTTTGGTACCAACTTGTGCACTGTTGATACAATCTAAGTGATGTAATTGAGATGATCTCCTCCCCAGGATGTTTGTAGAGCGGTTTTGCACAGCAGCGTTGGTGTTGATGCTGACCGCTTATGAAGCTGCAAACACCAAATTGCCGTGATGTTTGAAATGCAACAGAGCGAGAACGTCTTTCTTGCCCATCGTGGCTGACAGTGGAGCTCAGTTAGCAGGGACGAGGTGCCCAACATCAGACATGAAGGTAAAGCCTCTACATCAGGTTATTTTAAAGTAAAGCAAAGCTTGTTTGGAACAAAGTACAATGTAAAAGGAAAAATCCAAAGCACAAGCTGGACTAAGTCAATTACCAGCTCAATTAACGGTAGCCTTAGCGAGGTGAGATTAGGAAAATGGAAACGACTTCTCATTGAAGTTGTTTGTATGATGGGAGATGCCCTCTGCTGCACATGGAGCCACTTCTGCACCACCAAGGTGGGCAGCAGAGGCTGCCCTGGCAGAAACGTCATCCCTGGCAGGTGCCAGGGTGGAAGAGCACGTGCAATATTGGAAAGCAAGGTGGTGAACAAGAAAAAATGGTGGCTTTCTGCATTTAATCGGCTTAAATATTTTTCATTTTGATTTTGGTTGCTTGTCTTTAAAAAGTGCCAGTTTTTACTTGAGCTGCTGCTTCAAGGCATTATCCGCATTTGATAATGATTTGATTTGATCACTCAGTATTTGTCTAAAACACAGAACATTTCAGCATCTCTGACTGAATTTCACTGGTTGCGTCTGCATTAGCAAGTAATTCAGTGCAAAAGCAGGGGAATTCAGCCTGGAGCAGTGGGTGCAGTTGTGGGTTTAGTTCAGAAGGATTTGGTCTGGCCCCGGGGCGGAATATCCTCACCATACCTGTAATTTGTGGCTGTCTGAGGTGTCTGCTTTGGGATCGCAGCCAAGCGGCTGTTTCAGCTGGGGGTTGGAGCGTGCTCAGTGCCAGAGCAGAGCTTTCAGCTTCCTTCCTTCCCAAAGGAATACAGTTTGCGGGTGGTAAAACAACTTGGCGAACCCAGCCAAAGTGCGGCAAGGGGGGGCACTACAGGAGTTGATTTCAAAGCTGCACCCCTGCACCAAACACTCAGGTGTAGACCCAGCCGCTGCCACCCTGAAGATGGGAGTTTCTGTATCCAGCAGCTCACCACGGCCATTTCAGCCTGCCCTGAATACCACTGCCAGCCTGCCCTGGCAAGGCTGGCACAACTTTCCAGTTACCTGTGCCGAGTCACAGCCTGCTGGTGCTGGGGGGGCTGCCGTACACCAGGGAGCTGTCCATGAGCGATTCCTCAGCCTCGTAGCTTCTGTTCTTGAACTCCGTGGCCACAGGGCACAGTTCCTGGTTGCACCACCTGAACAGAGAACGCAAGCAGTTACCTGAGCCCTGGTAAACAGACAGTGCTGCTCTCAGCTCGAGGTCTGCCCAGTTTGGATCCTTCCCATCGCTGGAGCACGGAGATTGCCCATGGCAGGGAAAAGCAGCAACGCTGCCGGTAACCAGGCAGCATGCTGTTTGTCTCCATCCAGGGGATGGAGTTTGGATCTCCCCAGGGCAGACGTTCAGGTCGCTCAGAGAGGCAGAGCAACACCTGCTGCATCGCGCAAGAGATGATCTGGAATGGTTTGGGATAGGGCAGCTCTTCGCTTACCTTCGAGCAGCAGAGATGTCTTCAGCAGAGGCGTCAGGCCGAGATGCGTGTTCAATTAAAAGAGCTCCTGTGGAAAAACGTGAGATGTAAGTGATCCTGGGCTCCAGCTGAACCAGAAAAGCCTCATGGAAAGAGGGGGGTGGTTACTGCTCAACAGCACTTGTCAGGCTGAGCTGCCTCCATCTGAAAGGCAGGGACCAAGCTTGCTTTAAAACTCCACTCTTCACCTCTGAGTGTGTGAAGCCACGACACTCTAGGACTGATCCCTGGCCCTTTCCTGGTCTGAAATCCATCATTTCTGTCTTTCCCACTACCTGCATAGATCCTTGCTAGGGAGTAAGAGAAGTCTCTTGCAGCCAGCTCCATGGTCATTGCCTCCTTCGAACCAGCTCCTTGGATGAACTGGGTGAGACGGCTGATGGCAGCCTGCATTTGCTTCACCGCGGGTTCCAGTTCTGCAGTGCTCGAAGCCAGCTCAATTTTTTTCTGCAAAGAAAACAATCACAGGAAAAATTACAGCATATTTACCTTCTGCAAGGAAACGAGGCTGGTGGAACCCCAAGCACACCCAGCAGGATATTAACAAAAGGCTTACGTTGAGGTGGCTGCAGCTCACGCTGCCATAGGTGGAGTGGCCAGAGCCCAGCTCAGCAGGAAAGGGGACGCTGCCAAAAGGAAACTCAGAGCCTTGCCCCGAAAATAGTGAGTTCCTGTGAGCCAGGCCCAGCCGTGCTGGCCTTCCAGCTGCATGTGGGGACCAGCTGACATCCCCACTTCTCTCTAACTGCACACCTGTGTCAGGTTATTAATGTGCGGGCTATTATCAGGTGGGTATTACCAGGTTAATTATGTGTGACCTCCCCTCTTTTTATATTTTCACTCCCACTAAGATGCTAGAGATAGGAAAACTCAGATTAAAAGGAGCTTTTCCCTGTCTGTGAACCGGTCTGGCTCCCTTCTGGTGGCTGGGCTAAGCTGCTGTTTCCCCAGCATCCCATGTGCCTTGTGAGCACAAGTGAGTGTCTGCCGAGAGAACCTAAAATAGTCCTTGTTTCACAACACAGCATGCCCGTGGCTGCCTGGATGTGTCCTGCAGAGGCTAGCCCTAAACCTGTGATTCCCACATGGCAGTGCTGAGCCCTCACGAGCCCAAAAAAGAGCGTACTTTTTGCTTGGGGCTGCCAGCCTTGGGTGAAAGCCCGATCTCGCTGAAGCCACGCAGGCTGGAAAGCAGCCAGCTCGCACCCACAAACCTCTGGCCCCTGCATCCCTCAGGGCCACGAGTGTTTGGCAGGGTGGGTGCCCACCTGTGGGCAGCGCTGGCTTTGGCTGTGAGCTCAGCCCCAAACTGGCTGTGCTGTGCTGGCACCTCCACAACGCTCAGATCTCGCTGCAGGAAGGCTGAAGGTTTACCTGGAGCAGGGCTGCGTGCGTATTTAAGGAGCGGGTGGTAGGGGGTGCTTTTTGTTCGTCTCATTTGGAGGCTGTTTATGAGCTAAAGCCTGCAAGGAGCTGCAGCACAGAACTGATTTCTGATTTTTTAGTACTGAAGTGAACGTGCAGCTCCCCTTGCTCGTACAGCTTATTTGCACCGTAGGACTCTGCCCACACAAGCCGAACCCAGCTTTGCTTTCTGTGTGACAGCTACCCAGCCATTGCCCTGTATTTTCTGACTATTAATACAAGGAGAACACAATCCTCAATGGTTGCTATTCTGTGCTCCAGGCAAAGCTGCACACAAATACTCACAGCATATGCTGGACGAATACGAAAACATCATCAGTAAAGCGGTTGGGTCTGGTGCCAAGATAAAGTCCAAAGAACCCTCCAAACCCACAGAATGCTAATAAGATGTTTTAAAAGCAGCTCGGAGCTTGTTGCCAGCAAGGATCAAAGACCCCAAAGGCATAAACAGATTCCCAGCAGCTTGGGTGGAAGCCAGCATCACACAGGCAAAGCACAGCAACCACATACGTGCCTCCACCAGCAGCCGCGTGCTGGGGTGTGCAAACAGCTACATCCTACACGGCCTTGGTTTGTAAGGCTTAAAGACCTGGCAGTGTAGACCAGGAATATAAAGCATCATTTTAACCTTAGAAGAAAAAATAATAATAATAATAATTGCATTGTCTTTGCTCTCCCATAATTTACACTTCTTTTTTTTTTTTTTTCAGATCACTCTTTTTTTCTCCTAACCAAAAGCTCTGAATCTTCTGAAAGACCGAGCTGGGTTTTTGCACATCCTCCACTGCCTTGGAAAGTGAGAGACTAGATAGAGAGCTGCTTCAGGGATGATGTCTGAGGCAGAAGCAAATTCTGGCTTGCTCTCCTGTGGGTTGATCTGCTCCAGCACCTGTAGGGCATAGCTGAGGGGAGGCACGGGCACACAGCCCCCGCGTGCCACTTGTACGGTTCTTTTCTGACTGCAGTCAGCAGAGAGAAAGAGCTTCAGAGTGCCAATACGTCTGGTTCCTTCAGGTTATCACTGAGGAATGTTTAAGCTGCCACTCGTTTCTTTGCTCTCACTACCAAGCAAGATCGTCAGAGCAGTTTTTACTTGAAGAATAATCACCAATACTTAAAAACACAGCAACAGGGAGAACATCCAAAACGGGGCTAGAAGCACAAGTCTCATGTTATTGTTTTGAGCAAATAATGTAGTCTCGCTTTAATAACCTACATTTATTTCCTGCTGTGCTAAAATTGTGGTTATGGTCTGAAAAGGACCTAAAAACATTACCACGTGACTCGGATTGCATGTCCGATTTACAGATAGTTTCAGCCCCACGCAGTCATTGCTGATGCAGCAGGCAGTTAATTCTGAGCTCTGCAAGATGCCCGCAGGACTGGCAATTCAGAAAGAACTGTGATGTGACCAAATTTAATCTAAAATTATTAAAATGCAATAATCAAAGAATTCCCCAGTGCTATTTTAGCATCACTTTTCAGGCTGTAATAGGATTCGAGAGTACAGGCAATGCTCTGGCTCAAAATTCCAGCTAATAAAATCTTAGTCTAACATAAAATGACTCCCCCCGTGCAGTATCCACCTGAAACTCCCTGAGACCTTGCAGACCTCTGGACAGGGTGGTTTGTAAGAAGCTTACCCTAAAAATTCAGATTCTCATAATTATGCTGTGCAAAAATGAGAAAGGTCTCTGTTCTTCCCTTTTCCTATAGCTAATTATAACACTGGATTCCTTCAGAGAGCAAAGAACTATGCTGCACTAAGTACTAATGCCACTTTCTCCAAAGAAGTCTCTGTCACTGGGCACAAATTCTGCAAACTGAGAACCTTGAGGGGACAAACATAAAGTGAATTGTACTAAGTTTTGTGTGCATCAATAAAAAGAAAATGGATTGGAACAGTAAAAATCCCTTTATGAAGGGCTAAATGATTTCCTCACTAGATGGGCATGGGAAGGATGTTTCAAAACGAGCCAGACTCCCAGAGACCAAAAGAATTTGGACACCTGGAGCTCAAAATGAGGTTGTTTATCACCTGAGAACGACATCCTGATTCTGGTGGAGAAGCTCAGCAGGGTCCTGCCTGATGCTACAGAGGCACTATGCAGAAATACCTCCCAGCTGGCACCTCCAGTGCTGGCTGCTGAAGGTTTCTGACGTGCCGAGGTTACGTTTGCCACGTATGATCTGCTACATCCAGAAGCAGGGCATCGCACAGCTCTCTGAGCCCCAGCCACTTCCAGTCACTCTGTTCCCACACTCCGTGGAAATGGAGGCAGCCCAAGGGTGACACGAACAGAAAATGCAGTGGCATTAATGGCATTTGAGGACCTTCAGTCAGTGCTCACTCCTCCACCACACGGTGATCATCTTAGCGTGATTTGTTGGAGCACCAGAGCAATGATGAGCTTGCTAATTAATAAAGCTCAACACTTGGTGTTACTGCTGTGCAATTACTTGCTCTGAATCGTGTTGCTGAGTTCTTTAGTGCTTCTCTGGTTATCCAGTTAAGGACCCTCTTAGCTGCACCAGGAGGGTGCTTGTAGGACTGCAGTACGGCACCTTTGTGGGGAATTGGTTTAAATTAGTAGAAGCATAAGCCTGAGGAAGCCGGCTTCTTTCCAAGTTATTTTTAGAGCCTACCACCCCCTCCTTTCCTTCTCTACTCCATTACCCTCAGTGTCAGATTAAACTGCTTTTTACCAACAGCTGGACCAGTTGGCTTTTTAATTAGTGGGTACGCTCATTAGTCCTGCTTATGAGCAGCTTTGGCTTTCATGTTTGGTAGTCAAATTGCTTGAGGTATTTTTCCTTTAACAAAAGTTGCACGAGAGGATGGTAAGAGGACATCTCTGGAGGTCAGAGAGGTGGGCTGTGCAGAATACAGCTAAACTGTGGGTGTGAAACGTAACACAAATTCTCAACTGCAGCCACTGGTGAGAAGGGGTCAGGCTCTTGTTAGTGTGTTTTTGAAGGACCTGATGGATGGATAGGATAGGATAGGATAGGATAGGATAGGATAGGATAGGATAGGATAGGATAGGGTAATCTGCTGGATACACCAGAGACCACAGTAAGAGTTTTTTATTTGTTTTGTAAAATCTACTTATTAAAAAAAAAAATCATTCTCTCTCTATATATAATGAAAATATCCATTATATATACTATGTTTTCCTTCGTGTACCTGTTCCTATGTTCACCGCCCAGGGAAAGAAAGGAGACTGAAGTCTTGGCTTTCAGCACAATTGAGTTTGAGCAGTGGCAAGGCCACCATGCAGGTATCATCTCTGCTCTCTCTCTGCTTGTGCCATCACCTTCAAAGAGCAAATAGTCAATGCTGAAGGGAGTGAAGTGGCCCAGACCTCTCAATTCTCTTGGGGAGAATATGAGAAAGTGAAGGCTACATGGAGTGAAATCCAGCAGCTCATGATTCCCTCACTGTATCTGCGCTCACACAGTTCTGAATTGCTGTCTCCATTAAAAATCTAATCCCTGAAGGAATACCCTCTGATATGGTGATCATGCCTTCCAGCCTCATTCCTGCGTCCCCTTATGGGATGTAACAAGCCAGATGATGTTCATTTACCTTCAGGAAATTCTGGGCTTCTTTGAACTCTCCATGACTGCCTGTTATCTGGGAACCTTTAAAAGAGCAGCCTGTAGGTAAAGGCAGAGAGCTGCAAATCTGAAGAGGCAGCAAAGGAATTCCTTTGGCTCTTTCCATCTTTTCAGTGGGAATAAGAATAGAAAGTCATGCTACAGTAGGTAGGCCTAGTGAAAGTTTAATATTCAGTAGTCTTGTGGTGTTTTTGCAGTTTAAAAAAACAAACAAAAAACCACAACACTACATTATTTTGATTCTATCACAGTAAAAATACATTTACATTGTTATCTGTCATGAAGAACACTGACAATGCAAAACTCTTTACTATAGAAATAAAATTACCTGCCTTTTTTTTTTTTCCAGCACACAAGAATCCCAAAACAAACACTGCCTGCATTCTGCTTTTGTAAGTGCTATTTAAAGAGCAGAATTGTAAAACACCTTCTGAACACTTGTCTAAAGCTTTGAATTTGGTCACATTCTCCAGCAGTCTCAGCCAAGAGCACTGACACCAAATAAGACTCAGACAAATCAGACAAATCAGGCTTACTGGTGCTTTTGACAAGGGCTCACCTGCACTGTGGAGAAGAACACAGCTATCACCTGCCCTTGGCTCTTGGTGAGGGATCTCAGGACATCAAGTGACAGGATATTTGTTGTTCCCTCCCATATAGACAGCACCTGGTGGCAGAAGAGACTGTGTAAGAGCAAGAAGGAGCCTGTTGGAGCAACTTCAGTAAATAAGGGGGAACATGAGCCAATGAAGAGCTGGGGCAGTGTTAAGGGATTATCAGGGAAATCTCCAAAGATTTCTTGTCTCTCCACAAGTGGGAAGAAGCACTGCTGATGAGAGCGAGGGGCCTGGCTACATTACTGAACTAGGAAACGATCCCCAGCACCAGGAACGGATCATGTCCCCTCCCTGGTGGTGATGGGGCTCAGGCAGCTAGAAAGAACTGCAACACCTGCAGTGAGTCTGGGGAGGAGTGTGTTTTTCTTTGAGTGTGCCTTTAGGAGGAAACCACAAAGGACTATGCAGGGGACTAGGTGATACACAACCAGTTTTTTCTGCTGCTTTCTTACCAGAGTATCACGAACTATGACCGGCAAGCCTGTGTCCTCCATGTAACCTTGTCCTCCAAAACACTCCATTGCCTCGATAACAGTGGCAGAAGCCTGCAAAATGCAGAGAGTTGATATAATATAATACACATTGCACAAAGGGAAGGAGTGGCTGGAAACCTCCTGTATCACACAGCAGGTCCTGCTGGGAGGGGACTGACTGCATCCCACTGCCTTGCTGAAGCAGGTTGCTCGTTCATAGAATCACAGAATGGTTTGGGTTGAAGGGACCTTAAAGATTAGCCAATTCCATCCCCCTGCCAAGGGCGGGAGCACCTCTCACTAGACCAGGTTGCTCATTACATGAAGGGAGGGAAGTGAAGAGTGAGCAGCTCTGAGTGAGGACTTGCAGGAGCAGACAGACCCAGGGAGAAGATCCAAGGAGAGTCTCGCTGCAGTCCTCTCTAGGTAAGAAAAGCCTCAGCAGCATTCCTCTGTGGCGTACTTCACAGAGCGTTTGCTCTATCTGCTGTCACCAGCTGACTGATTGTGGCTTGCTTGCCAGGCAGCTGGCATGCTGAGTCCTTCCTAGGAGCTGAGGGATGAGTCCCCCACTCACAAAGTCCAGCCTCAGCACACAGCAGTAATTGCAGGGTAGCTATCAAGCTGCAGGCCCTGCAGACAGAGGTCGCTGCCTGTACCCCATGCCATTGCTGCCCTTCTCGTTGGCTGTGTTAATTCTGCCTCTTTCCAGCTCCATGGCTACTAACGTGCCACCAGCCCCACTCTGGGCTAATCAAGCTGGTTGCTCCATACCTGCTTCCCAGTGTATAGCTTGGCAACGGGTACAAGCAGTCTCAAGAGAAGCTGGTCTTGCTCACTTGCCATGTTGGTTTCTGCAAGTCCAAGCAGCCGAGCGATCTCCATGAGCAGAAGAAAAGCCCCCCGCGTCTGCACCTGCATGTGGAGAAGTGGGGAGCTTCATTGGCATGGGTCTTGAACTGTGATTCCAGCCTGATTTGCTGAGGTGCCATGAGACTATCTGGAAGGGATGCACAGTGCTTGGACCTGAGCAAAATGCAACCCCCCCTGTACAAAACCACAGCTTCAGAGACGAAGACCACAGATCAGCAAGGCATAAGGCATGAAATATTAGAAACAATCTGGAGCTGCCTCTCTTGTACACTGCAATCCACTATGAGAAAAGGGACAATGGCATTTAATTAAGCCTAATGGGAGCCTTATCAAAGCTCCTCTCAGGTATCCAGATCATAAATCCATTCTTTTCAGGGATAAAGGACATGAGGCTGCACATCTGATGGTCAGTCTCCGAGCACCAGATCTGCAAGGTCTTTGACAGATTTCTTGCTTCCCTGACAAGTTGCAATTTGGACGGCACTGAGCTATGAGCTTTGTAGCCTCTGTGTGTAATGATGTGCTCTGGGACTACATCAGCTCTTGCCTTTCTTTCAGAGGTAAGAGTTCTGGCCATGGACTGCCACAGGCTACGAGATGCTGGAGCTTTAAGTTATGCTTGACACTTGTTGGGGTGACACCACTTTCCCTCTTTGCCCCCCCTGCAAGAGGAGTTTTAAATGCTGGTTTAAATATTTGCATGAACCTAATGTAGCCCAAGGATAAGAATTTGTGTTACACCAGTTAAAAGAAGAAATAGTGCCTGGATGGATGAGAGGAGGAGAACTGTGTGCCTTCTTTTTGAAGTTTTGGTAGTGGGAGGAAGCCACCCATGTCCTCTGGGTTTAGTGGGCTGCTGTGGCTCAGTGTTGAGGCAAAGCTGAGACATTCTGCAGAGAGCTATGGCTGTGAAATTCCTCTCAAAGCCCAGAGCCAGAGTGCCAATTCACACTGCTCTCTCTCCCATTGTCTAACCATTATTTCTTTAGATGGTATTTATGTCTAGATGCTGTAATCAAACTCAGTGTCTTGTGCTGAGCACTGTGCATGTATACCATGGAGACAAATTTGTCCCAGAACTAAAAGTTCATGGACCTCCCCCCAGGAATTCATCAAGCCCACTGAGAATAGCCGATCTCCTGCTGCAAGAGCTACCAGGATGAGCGTGCACCAGTCTTGGAAAACAGTCTGATAACTGCAGTTCAGGAGATTGTGGTGTCATGCTTGTGGTCTGGTGCAAACGACTTAATTTAGAGGCCATGACATAGTGGATGCATGCATGAACTTTAGCACTCCTGTCAGAATAGCTCCCAGGTAATTCTAATTTAGGATAACCTAAATGTGCCCATAAGCAGCTGAGGATCCCTGCCCTCTTTCCTGACCAGAAGAATCAGTTCAGCTCCTGGAAACCTTACCTCCATCCGGGCTATTGTCTGCATGTGCAGGGGATGGTCTTTGAGGAGCTTCCCGAAGACAACCCGCTTAAGGGCGTACTCCCTGCTCAGACTGATCATCCTAGAGAGAATGCAGCCAGGGAAAGGAGTTAGCAACCTTCCTTCTAAGCTTCCCCTTACGGCCATCCCCACTGGGTGGACCCTGCTGGGCTGCAGCACACCAGCCTAGGTCACCCAAAGGTGACCTAGCACCGCTGGCTCCCAGCCCTGTGCCATAAAAGCACGACATGACAAGCGACTGCGATGCTAAGCACTGCAATCTCCCCTTATCCTGACGTGCTGCTCCTCCAGCTCTGGGAGCGGGGTCCAGGCTGCCTTCACCTTCTCATGGAAGCTACAGCACCAATGACGTTGTGGATCCGAGTTATGTTCAGCATGTTGGAGATGGAGGCCACTCCACGACCTTCTGCAGAGATCTGAAACCACAGAGGAACAAAAGTTGATGTAAGCCTGTGGCACAGCCTCAAAGCTGAAGCACGTCTATCTTAGTGACACTTGTGTCAGCAGGCAGACAGGTACAGGACGTCCACGTCACCTCTCTCTGTTCTCCAGCACCAGAAAGATCTGCTTGTGTTAAAATACAGCTGCCTCGTTTTAGCCAAGTCTGTGGCATGATTGGAGAGGTGCCTTTGGAGACTATCAGCACGATCAGTTCTGGTCACTGCCTGCTTGTTCCTACCTGCATGCCACACAGATCTGCCCCTCAGCTGGGCTAAGGCAACTGGATTAGGGAAATGACCAGCTCAGAATTACTTTTTTCCTCTTCTTCCCCAAGATTTTTCCTGAGCTCTGCTCCATACAGGGCCCTGTTGGGGAAGGGTTCTGTGGAACAGGCAGTCAGTCACAGACATGGATGAGAGGAAATTCTTCAACTGTACACCCCCATGAGCAGTCTGCCATGCCACACCTGCCCAGCCCCAAGAGGAGATGGAAATGGTGCCCTACATACCAGCTCTGCTTCAGCTCCATCCAGCCACAGCTCTGCTGTTGCCATCTGCCGTGTGCCCAACTTGTCTTTCAGCCTTTGCACTCGGATATTGTTCAGCTTCTTGTCTTCATCTCGAACCTTCAGGAAGAACAGCGACAGGCCACTGGAACCCTGGGGCCATTAAAAAGACACACGAAGAGGACGATGTCACAATGAAAAAAGGAAAGTAAAAAGTTCCCCTGCTCCTTCAGCACATTCCACCACACAACAGACCTGTTTTACATGTCCTTCAGCATCTGCTATCCTGGCCAGGGTTAATGTCACATCAGAATCAGCAGCCGATGTAAACCATTTAAAACCATACAGACGATACGTGCCATCTGGCTGCTTTCTGGCCACTGTTTCCGTGCCATTAGCTGCAGGAAAGGAACAGAAGATCGTGGCTTTATGGGAGCTTCTGTATCAATCGATGCTGATTTTCAGTTTAAGCAGCAGCTCTTTATAAGTCACCTCTTGCTATCCGGATGAAATATGGATTAGCTGCTAATCTCTTTCACTGACAGTGGATAAGAAATGCAGCCAGAGTTTAGTACTAGAAAGGAAATATGCCCTGTTTAGCTGCAAGCCTTTCCAGCAATTGCTCCAGGCTAACAATGGCAAGGGCAGCATTTTGTAAGCAGAGTGCACTGTGGTTTGCAATCCAAAACCTCAATTTCTTTAGGAGCTGCCATAGCCAAGAACAACAAAGGGTGCTAAGGAATCATGAATCCTTCAATGATGCTCATCTCTGTCTCTTTCCCTCCACAGCTGACTCTTTCACTTCTCCCACCAGGAAACCAGCTGCAGTTTCATCCCATGCAGGTGACTCCCTTTCCACATTTCCGTCTCTGCAACGGAGTTCTGAGGTTTCCTAGCCCATCATGCTATTCCTATCATTTGCCAAGGACCAAAGCTGAAGATCAGGAATGCTTCCTCAGTCCCAGCTGGGATGGGCCTGATTGCCTTACCCAAGGTTTAGATTACAGGGCTAAATGTCAGCGTGTTATCTGAGCAAGGATCAAATCTCTGATTACCTGCATGCCATGTGCTGTGTACATCAGTGGACAGAAGCTGGGCCTTTTGTTGGTAAAGTGCTGTGCAGATGATTGAGATGACTTCTGCTGAAGATTCATAAACCAGCCACCTGGCTCTGAAAGCTCCCTACACCCTTCACTTTCTCAGTTCTCACTAATGTGCCAGCTGGTGCTGCAGTTGCTTCCCACCTCAGTACACGTACCCACGTCAGAGCCCCCCCTGCGCTCGGTCATCCACTGGCCAGAGGTCCAGAACTTCTTGGGGTCCCGGGATGTCAGATGGTCAAAAGCATTTTTCAGGGATGCAGGCATACCTAGTGACTGTTTTGGGAGAGGGAAGAGAAATTAAAAAGGTCACACCAAAACAAATGAAATTAGACAGTTGCCTTAATTAACAGTGTTGTGTCCTACGAGTATCCCCGCAAGGCTCAGAATGGATGGTACACAAGCAGGAGAGTGGGACACCAAATGTCCTGCACTGTGCTGCAGTGTATCTGAGGGTCCTGCCAACAGTCTGTGAAACCTCCTGGCTCATACGAGGCTGCTGGAATACTGTGCAGGCAGAAGGTGCAGGCTCGTGTTACAAAGGGCAATGCTGAGCAGCCCTCCTGCCCCTGAGCTTCTGCAGCTGGACCCACAGCTTTCAAAACAGCGCAGTGCCAGGGGACAGGCATTCAGTCGTGTACACTGGATGTCACCAGCACCCAGAGAGCTGCAGGAAAAGGTAACTGCCTCGTGTTTTTTCTTTTTATTGAATTGGAATGCCCAGAGCTAGCTACACAAGGCTTAGCTTTTTTCTGCACCCTACATAGCCAGTTACAGAGTGCAAAGGGTCAGTAAAATGCAGAGCCAAATCTTCAGATGGGGAAGCCTTGCAAGGTTGGTTAATTTACACCAGGTATGGATCTGGCCCAATATGTTTAACAGCTGCTTCACGGAGGGGACAGGAAAGCCAGGTCTTTGTGCCTTGTAGTTTAAAAAATAATAATAATAAAAAGGTATGGAACAATAGACATCTTTCCAACTGCCTGCAGTGCTACAGGTTTCGTGTGCAGCAAAGGGCTCGCTGTGCACAGTGCTGTATGTAAATCTAAAAGTCAGTCTGGGTGCCCAGACTTTGCAGAGAAAGGAGAAAGCCAGGCAGTGGGAGACAGAGCTGAGTCACAGAGTGAGGAAGGGCCGTGTCCAGAGGCAGATGGCAGATCAGCTCTCCTAGATCCTCGGCCAGTGCTCCTGCCTCTAGCCAGCGCTGCCAGGACGTGGGCTGTGTCCTCAGAGACCAGCTGAGCCCGTACCTCAATGACTTTGGCTGCTCCATCAGTCATGGCCAGCGGACAGTTGAAACCTCCAGAGGTGGTTGAGAACAAGTACAGTTTGACAGCCTGGTGCACACGGCTAGGAAAGAAAGAGCGAAAACAGACAGGTTTTGTGGCAGTTCAGCAGCAGGAGGATAAAACATCTCGACTAGGAAGAGAGGGGGAAAAATACAGCCCAGATGGGTTAGAATCAGCCTACTCATTTCTAGGAGGGCAGGAACTGTTTCAGAGAGGAAAACAGAAGTGGAGCAGAAGTTTCTCAGTCCCCGAGGGACTGCCAGCGTGGGGCTGGATGGAAAGCATCGCTTGCCATCTGGTGCACATTAAGGGTACTTTTTAAAAATAAGAAAATCTGGGTCTATCTCCAGAGACCAGAATACAATTAAATTGCAAGTACAATTCCAGACCCTTGGCTGTGTTACAACTACTGCATGTAAAGCTGGAGCAGCGCAGGGAAGTGCCAGGCCCCAGAATCAGGGAAGTGGCATCAAAGAATATTATGATCAACTGTAGGCCATTAGTTACAGCTTATCATTGCTGATGTGGAACATTACAGTGGACAGACACTGCTGTTCAGTACAGCAGTAGGTGTGCTTTTGTCCGTGCATCATCTGTTACCCATTATACAACAAGAAGTTCAGTCCCACCAGATGCTGAATACGCTCCGCTAAGAATAACCAGCAGGGCACCAAGTTGCTCCCATTCTCCCCCAGTTACCTCCAGTTGGAATATCTTCTCTCATAGGCCTCAGCAATCAGCCCCTCTTCTGCTGAAATCTCTTTCATCCTCTTCCAGGCCGAGCAGGTGATGATGTGATCCACCCGCTGCCCCCAGGCATCGTACTGCCGAAACACAGGGGGATTCAACTCGCATTCCCATCCCAGGGGTTTGACCTCGGTGAGCAGACGGTTTCCAAACCTCTCCAGGTCCTGACTCACCTCCTCCAGTACCTGTGAAGCAACAAGAGCCTTTAGGCACTCGCCTAGAAGGAAAGAAGCCTTGGTTCTAATCGGAAAGTCAAAAGACTGGCCATATTGTTCTGGGTGCTAATGATCTCTTGCCACTTGGCTCATTGTACTCGGTAATGCAGCAGGACAGCTTGTCTCTTAGCTTCTGCTGGCACAGCTGTGCTCAGCTGTCACATTTTTTTCTCCAAATCATTTTTTCAAGTTACGTCTGGCAACATCTCTGGATTTTACACAAGACAGAAGAGCTTTTGTGTCAGGGCTGAGAATCACACAGATGCTTATGAACAAGGGGACTGGATGAGCTGATCTCCAGAGGTCCCTTCCAACCTCAGTAAATCACTCTGTGATTTACTGCTGGATGAGAGTGCTGGGGGAAAAGGTGCCAAAAACAGGAAGCCTTCATCTGTACAGGAAAACTTCTGCGGGGCTCAGTAGTTAACTCCTTACCAGGTCAGAAAAGGAGGGATAGCTCAATCCTCTGAGCTTCAGCCTCATGCACAGGGTGTGTCTAGATTCAGATTGTCACTCTGCAGCCAGCTTCTTTCACATCCCTAGGTAAGGATTCATCTGCCCTCGTTTCGGCCAGGCTTGGCTGACTTGGACAGAGTAGTCTGTCTGTAGTTAATGGAGAGAAACCAGCACCTGCAGAGAAGTGATTTGTTCCAAGCCTTAGATCCTTATTTTAAGGTGACAGAGATCTCCTGCAGGTGCTTGCTCCTCTTCACTGTGGCTGAAACTCAGTGAACTTGCCTAGATGCAAATAGCCTAACTTACAGCTGATTAAAACCAGGCCAAGGAGACCCAGCCCCTAGCACTGTTGGACTCTGGTTAGCAAAAGTATGTCCAAGACTGTTATGGGGTGTCACAGGGGCACCTGATCAAGATTAACTTTGAAGAGAGGAATATTTTTTGCTGTTCTCTGAAACCACACGAGATGCTCATTTCCTCCTCAGTACAGCAGTTGCAGAGGTGAATGCCATAGCTGCTCTGCCCAAATGGTGCAATTATAAAACACATTAATGTACTGCTGATGAAATACAAACCCTGCTTCCCCTCTGCATTGACTTTTCATTAAACTCCTTCCCATGTGATTGATTCTTTCATTGCTCTGCCTTTCAATGTGTGTAATGAGGATCCAGCACACGCTGTCCAGTCGGTGCTCTGGAAGTCTCCATCCTCAGACCAGGCAGTATTCTTTCAGGTGAATGCTGAAATACTCAGCCTCAGAAACCACAACACGAGCCAAAAGCCTGCATGAGCCCTGTCAGACTGGTAGAGCTTACACAGCACTCCTGCCCTAGGTTCAGCTGGGGTGGGTATATGCCTCCAAGGCTTATCATATCGTAGCAACAACTTGAAAGCTGTTTTACAAGCACAACCTAAGTATCCAAGGTACACGGATTTCACTAATCCCTGAAGCACAGGAACCTTTGAACTCTTTAGCTGGCATTTTTTTTTGTGGGCAGAAGACTAGTAGTTTTCCAAACAGGTCTCTTAGTCAACATGCTACAGTGAGCTCACTCCAACAGTCTCTTTACCTCCATACCCACATTTTCTAAACAAAACAAAAAAAAAACAGTGCCTAGTTGCGAGCTCTTGCCCTGACCACACTTACAAACCACTGTGTTGCCCAAGCGAATGTGTTTATTTCCAAGTTAAGAGAACAAAATCAGAGTTCCTGCATTTGTGACTGCTGCATGTAACACACCACAGCCGGGGCACTCCAAAACCACACAACAGGATACTGGGGAGGCAGCTGCAAACCGTGAGGTTCAAGGCTGATGCCACTAACTTGCAGCATCTGCTGGTGGTCTCACTCACCCTAACCACTGCTTTGATGTTCCAGGGATGGATATAGTGAAAACACACTACGAGTGCAAACATACGGTGCTTTATATTATAGGACTTATTTACAGAGGGATCAAAGACCTACAGATATTGCCACCACTATGCTCAGAAAAAGAAGTGGATGCTTCCGTCTGTGCTTCGGGCAGAGAGCAGAGACTGGGCTCTGCCTTTTAGCAGTGAGGCAACACTGCCCCGCTGGGACCATGCGCAGAAACGTAAGGGAGATTCTGATGATTTTCTGGTAGATTTTGCAGCCATCGTGTCTCTTTGGGGAACGAGTGGAGAGCAGCGCTGACCTTTTTCATTCTTCAGAAAATCTGAATCGTGCTTCTTGCAAAGGTGCAGATTAGGAGCAAGATCTTCGTGGTTGCCCAAAGGTATTGTCCTTTCTCTCACCTTCTCTTTCAGCAAGAAGGCCACAGTGGTGTGTAGGGAGGCCTCATTCCTGTCTCCCACAATGGCCTTGACAAAATCATTCTCCCATGAGATCTGGTCCTTGACAAGGGAGAAGCAGTTGCAGTCCTGGGGGTGAGGGCAGAGAAGAGCCGATGCAACGAGCCCCCAGCTTCCTGCAGGCCCTGAAGCTCACAGAACAGAGACCCACAGCTTGGGGTCTTGCTCTGCACCCCTGCAGCTCTGCACAGAGCCGTCACTCTGAAAATCACCTCAGAAAAGTCAGTTGCTGAGAACAAGCAAACCCCCAGGGGCCTTTCCATCCTCTTCTGCATTCAGCTGACAACAGCTGAATTCTTTTGGCAAGGAAGTTCCTCAAAAAAAAAAACTCTTCCTTAGTGAGAGGGAAGTGGAAGAGCACAGCAGAATTTGGAAGCACCTCAGTTTTTCCCTTTCTCTGATTTTTTTTTTTTTTTTTAATGCTGGGTGACCAGCTAACAAATGCACACCCTGACAATCTAACAACGCTCCGTGCGACACCCAAGCCAGTCACAGGAGTCCACTAGGCCCTTTCTATTTCTGTTTACGTCCTGGGAGTATTTTTCACCCCTGCACTGATTCACACAAAACAAGTTTTATAGAATGCTGGTAAATTCCCCTCAGTTAAACACACTGAAGGCACAAAAGGGCTCCAAGAAATGTTCAATTCATAGTCTTAAGCAGTCACCTAGCCAGACCTGCCGTGTGTACACGCACAGAAACACAAACATGCACGTCAGACCTTGGGAGGAAGGTGTGCCTTCAGGTAACTTCGAAGCAAAGCATCTTCCAGATACTGGTTCCCAGTCTCGGGCCGCTCTTGGAAGAGGTTCTCGGTTTCTCTTCTCACAACAGGCATTTCCAGATCTTCTAATACTTGGTTCTGCTGCATGCTGACCTGTTGCCCCTGCTCTGCTGTTGTGTTGACTCCTCTACAGCTCCAGGCTTGGCACCTCTCCCAGCCGTGACGCAGAGAGAGACCCATCTGCCACGGCTTGCAGGTAGCGCTGGACCTCCACAAAGGCAAGCGACGGGCAAACATGGTTGTGCAAAGCCTTCAGCGTGTCGCTCCGACAGCTGTCACCTTCAGACCCTTCCCAGGCTGCCACTAGCACCAGTCCTGTTTTGTTTTAACGTCGTTAAGTTATTCTTGTAAATCAGTTATGTCTTTTCTCCTCCCTCGGGGAGGAGCTGTTTAGCAGCTGTTGTTGACCGAACTAGGGAAAAGGTCTTTGGAAAGGGATCAGAAAGCAGCCTGGAAAAACACAGGTACTCAGAAAACACTGCAGCCCCCCCTACCAGCCACGGAAATCATCGTCACCAGCCCCAGTTTTTGACGTATCAAGAGTCAGGGGATTTATGTGGGGTTTCTCCTACCAGCATCCCCACTGAATTGCTTGGGATAATGAATTTGGAAATTGTAATCTGGTAGAGATCAGAAAGAAAAATTACATTTCCTTTTCTGAAGAGTGACAGAATGCCTGGAAACAGGAAGAAAAGGTTTAGGCAGGTTATTCTGTAAATGAGGTGTTGGTTAAAAAGGGAAATTCATCTTCCTTGTCTGGAGTCCTGGGTTGTGACACTAGCTCCAAAAAGAATCTGCTTCTTATGAAGTCTCTGAAGTCATAAATTTGAGTCAGGATGATATTAAATGTTTCCCTTTCGCTGGGGAAGTCCCTGAGTGTTCTAAGAATGTCTTTTGTCTTTGAGTAATATAAAACATGCACCTGATTTTGACTGATATGGTGATAATAAAAGCAGTACCATCATTTTAAACCTGCATGATAGCAAAGTGCTGTTACAAGCATAAATGTTGGAGACTAGAGCATGGGGTGTAACCCAGCGACATGTCCCAACCCCAGCATGAATTTAGACCAGCTGGAGATTGTTAGTGAAGCAAAACCAGTCACCTTTCACCCTTTTTCCAGTCCCACAAAGCCACATGGATGTCAAGGTTCAAAAATTCAGGTGCTGCTTGTTTGGTGGGACCTCGTCGCTTTCTTGATGCTGGCACTGCGACTGCGTCAGGTTGTCAACGACACCTGTGGCGTGGCTCCTGTTCGTGCTGCAGCATGAACAAGTCCTGTCCCTCACTTCAGCAGGGGTTTGCATATATTTAACAGTCTCACTATGCAGAATATGGTTTGTGCAACTGGGAGGTAAAGAAATGCTGCTTCTGCTTCAGTGGGGAAGGCACGGCTGCTGGCAACACCTGCTTGGACAGCACCATGAGCACCTCGTGCTGGCCTCCAGGCGTGCTTGGGCCAAACCTAATGCCCTGCGATGACTGTGCTGCTATTTCTTCCCTCAGTCACGCTACCGAAGGGCACCTGGCTGTGTCTGCACTCATGGATTTGGCATTAAATCACTCAGCGGGCCCTGGGGGAAGGAAGTTAGTTAGACATTGGAATGGGTTGCCCAGGGAGGTGGTGGAGTCACCGTCCCTGGGGGTGTTCAAGGAAAGGTTGGACGTGGTGCTTGGGGACATGGTTTGATGGGTGATATTGGTGGTAGGTGGATGGTTGGATTGGATGATCTCAGAGCTCTTTTCCAACATTCATTCTCAGGATTCTATGAAGAGAAAAGCTGCCCACAGGCTGCCAGCAGGCACCTTTGCCATCAGCCTCACTACCCTGGCAGCCTCCTCCACACTCCCAATCCCTCACACCGAGGCCATGCAGCCCCCCTGCCCCGCCGGGACCCTCCACGAGCCCGCTTCGGACCCAGCCCCACTTCTCCCCTCAGCCGGGCCCGCCACGGCGCCGCCGAGCCCCCGCCCTCCGCCCGCCCCCAGCGCCGCGCAGGCCCGGGGGCCCCGCGGCACCGCCCGGAGCCGAGCCGAGCCGGGCCGGGCCGGGCCGGCAGGCGGAGCCCGCAGCCCCCGGGCTGAAGGAGCGGGGCTGAGCCGTGCAGGTACTGGCCCGGCCCGGCCCGGCCCGGTGCAGCGAGGAGGCCGCCGTGCCTCAAGATGGCTCCGCGCCATGGCGGCCTTGGCCCGGCGCCTCAGCGCCTGGTCCTGGTCTAGGTCCATTCCCTCTCCTCGGCCCGCAGCGCGCTGGGGCTCTGGAAGCCTTTTTTCCTCACATATTCCGGGAAAAAAAAAAAAAAAAAAAAAAAAAAAAAAAAAGAGTCAGGTTTGGCCGGGTTGCGATCGTGGTTGTGGTGCCCTCAGGGGCACCACGTACCCAAGCAATCAGATCAGATACAGGCAGTCACGGTGATGTTTCCTTTGTGTATAAATCGATTGTGAATGTACCGTGTTGTAGGAAACGTACTTCCTTATCTCTCTGGCTCGCTTAAATCAGCTTTATTTAGCTAATAACCTGACGTTGGAGTAATGCCTTTGTCTGTTTTAATTGCATTCCAGTCCTGTTTGAAGAGTGCTTAGTCAAACATGATTTAAAAAAAAATCCTAAAATATTTAACATGTAAATACTAAAAATTTCGCAGGTGTGTGTTTGTTGAAATATGCTTTTATAGCAGTAATCCGCCTTCATTACTAAATGAAGTGCTAAATTTAGCACAAAAGCTGTGACAGGTTCCAATCAACGTCCTAATGACTGCCAGCAAATGGAAATGAGGCTTCCATGGAAAAGAGCTGAAAAGATAAAACACAGAACAAGATTCAGTCAGCTGCCATAAAAATCCTCTGCTCACTGTGTTAGTTCACGATTTAAATCAATCCACTATGTTTATGTTATTATTTTAATTGTTAATAGAAATACTGACTGGCTGTGGACAAGGAAGCGCTCCGCTGGGGACCTCTTCGTGGTGTTCTTCATTAGCGTCTCCCCATTAGCGAATACACATTGAGATCTTGCAGCGAGCCATTTTTCAAACTGGTTAATGTGTGCCTTGCTAATTCCATCTAATGGAAGCTTTTAATCAAGATGTCAGTCGGTGCTAAATGAAGCACCTCACTGAAGTGCCAAACACGTAACGTCCACGTTATTTCCTTTATCAACCAGCTTTCCATTCTTGTTAGATAAAAAAAATAAAAAATGATTTTCCTCTTTAATCCAGGTTTGTTTAACAAGACGTGCTTTCATTAAAACATTGTGGACTTCTCTCTTTCTCTCTTTTTTTTTTTTTTTTTTTTTTTTTCTCAAGGTGTCCCAGAAGAGTCATTCCTTTATTCTGGCCAAGATTGATGTTAGTGTGTTTCCTGCTTACCCTTGCTAAAATATTGGCTACCATTGGCAGAATTCCAGTTCTTTCACATTCCCCCTTCACACTTTTTAATGGTTGTAGGAATTAACATTGTGGCTTGGAATATGAAAAATGCAACTTAAAAGGGCAGTAGCTGACATCAAGTACACTTATGGCCCTGAATTTCAAATACTATTGATCATTTACCAGTGAGTAGAGAGTTTTTCCATTCTGCAGACTTCCAGACAGTGCCATAGTGTATCTGTGGTTTGCTTTGCTTTAGCTGGCAATTAGTTTTTATACTCGAATCTGGCTGAAGAATCTAGTTTCTACTTTAAGGAAGATGAGGAGTTGTAATGATGGTGTGTTTTCCAGGTGTCTCACATCTGCTTTTTTTCAGGTTTTCAATTGCAAGTGGAAGACAGGTCTTTGAAATACATGATGGCCACTTGTCAGCTTTTACGCGCTAGACAAAAGAAGTCTTCTAAGGTAAAAACCTTGAAATGTGGTGCTGCTGGCAATTTTACCTGTCAGTTTTGGTGCCTGACATATCTGTACCCTGTGAGCTGGTAACACTTTCTGCTGGCTATGTGGTTCAGTTTAATTAAAAAGCAGGTATTTCCAATTTAATGAGTCCAGGAAGATACAGCATGGGGTTTTGACATACTTGACTAAATAAATAAAGGCTCATGAGGTGTGTACAGGACTTTATTAGCAGGAAGTAACGCAATGACCTAATAGAGGAACTAAATTTAGTATACTTTCCACTGGGATTTTTCATGTTTAAGTCATGCAGTGCTTAGTATTTACATTAGCTCCAATCTTAGACATGTTTACATCTCTGTGTTAAAATTGCTCTGAAAAGTAGGTCTGCCTACAGTGTTGACAGGCTTGGTCTGCTGTCACATCTCAAAAAAAGCTGGGGCAGGCACTGAACTTTGGTACTGCAGTAAACAACACACCAGCACAGGCACTTGCTTGACTCCACTATTAATTCTGTAGAGCAGAGCTGGCAGAAAACTATATACGCTTTTGTTTTTAAGGGGTGGTTGTCTGCTAAGTGTCTGCATTGGTACAGTAGAGGGGGTGGGAATGTTCAGCTGTGATAGAGGAGGGTAGTGACCAATGCAGTCTGCATCTGGGTTGGGTAAATCAGATCGATTGATAACATTCCTTGAAATATTTAATCGCACTTAGTTTGGCACGAATCCCTCTCTGTGTAATATGAAGACCAGGGAACTGTTAAAATTACCTTTTTAAGTTACCCTTTCTTTCTACCTGTTGAGAGTCATTTCTAAATATAAAATAGCTCTACTTTTAACATTACCCTTCTTTTTCAGGAATCAGTGTTGTTCCCCAACAAAATTGATACTGAGCAGCAGTCTGTGGTGCTGGTGAAAAGACTTCTGGCCATCTCTGTCTCCTGTATAACATACCTGAGAGGGCTGTTCCCAGAGAGTTCATATGGAACTCGCTATTTAGATGGTAACACTTTCAGTTTGTGCTGCATTCTTATTCTTACTTGCTATATTTTAGCAATAATGTACTCTGCAGATTAGCTTCTAGCTGCTCATGTATGTATGAGTTTAGTTCATTAGGAATACAGCTAGCATGCTTTCTCAGGTCTTGATGCAGACAAGGCTTCTGCATCAGATAGAGTATAGCAGACAATGTAGAGCTATTACAGCTTACAGCGACACACAGCTTTCCTGTTCATGTCTCTTTTGGTTTGTAATTTTTCCTTGGTGTTGCCAGCCCTGTGAGTCAGTCCCCAGAGTCAGGAGCTTGACTTAAGAATTAGTGAGTATTTAAAAATCAGCTCTGATTGATGTGTGTTATTTCCCTGTGGATTTTTGAGCTCAAATTTTCAGCTTTCTTTGTGAGATAGAAAGTAGAATTGTTTTTGTCATATATATATATATATGTATATTATTTTTTTCTGTAAAAATTGACTAGGTCACATAACCACATGTGTTTGGTCAGAACTAGCAAACTAACTACAGTCAGACCTTTAAGGAAGAAGGACATTACTGTAAGACTTGTCATAGGATCACAAGAATTCATGATGCTTTGATTCATCATCCTCTTTTTGTTCATTCAAGATGTGTTAGCAGGTTTAAAGTGTTCATTTGTATTCCAATCCATCTCCATGCTTTTACCTAGGCAGGTAGTTACCCTGAAACATGGTCACATGTGGACTTGGTTGAGGGCACAGGAAATCCCAAATTGTCTTTTGATCACCAAGCCCTGAAAAGCCACTAGTCTTTCTAATCAAATGTCAGGTCTTTCAAATGCCTTTTTGATCAAAAATGTTAACATCTGGCCTGCTTATGCCTTTAAGTGCTCTTTGGTTGACTCCTAAGGTGTTATTAATTCACCTCCTCATTTGCAGGATGGGGTTCCTCTTGCCATTTGTAATGCCTGAAAAAAGTGGCAGAAGAAACTGTGTGGAAAAACTTAACAGAAGCAGTTTATTCTATGTATAGTCATTTATCTCATTCAGATGTTGGTGCAGTGTGAATGCAGATGTGAAGGTATTGTTTGGAAATGCCAGAGTAGATGGGAATGAAGAAGGGAGGGAGTGGGCAACGGAAGCTGTAGGTTTTTTGAAATTAAGCCATAACTAGCACTTTTTTCTGGCGGAGTCCAGATCATCTGAGGAAAATCTTTGACATTTGAAAATGCAGCAATAAGCTTGTGTCAGCCCACCTGGGACTTAGTGGAAAACCAACATTTCCGCTCAGGAAGGACCTCCAGATAGTGTTTTATCCAAAAAAGGGAGGATGACTGCTTTGGTTTCAGTGTTTGCCCAATAGCTGTGATAAGGATGGTAACTATGTGCTAAATCTGGTTTTGCAGACCTCTGTCTAAAAATTCTCCGAGAAGATAAAAGCTGTCTGGGATCATTTCAGATAGTCAAGTGGTAAGTGAGTAACAGCGAAACTAAGACAAGATTGTGCTGAATAGCAAGACATCTGCCCCTCACATTCTTCTTCTTCCTGTGTTTGAAAATACTGTGCCCAGTAGTGCGATTGGATATGCCAGTGCAACTCCCACTGCCGCAGCGTGTGCTTGGCCCTGTGTGTAAGCAAGACAGAATTAGCTAGCAGATCATGTGAGTTCAAGGTCTCTTGAAGTGTTAACTTCAGTGAGGTCATGGTCAGGCCCCAGAGCACACAGGCAGCATAGGTAGGCAGAGAGAGTAAAGAAAATCACAAGATTGATTCTGGTATTGTTTGTTTGTTTGTTTGAATATTTTCCAGTTTCACTTTTATAGTGATTCTTGTAGATTCTTTTAAGTATGTCCTATATTTTATCTCCCTGGATATTGTGTGTCTAAGTACCTTATGGCTGTCTTGTGTGCTATTTAGGATGCCTTTCAGAATTAGCATGTTCTCAGCAAGCAGAGAGTCTGACTTTGATTTGCTAAGGAGATAGGCAGCTGCAAAGACTCAAGGACCATTGCTACCTCAAGTAATATTTACTGCTTTGAGAAAGTCCTTAGCTGTAAACTATGCATCAGATAGCAAAAATTTACAAGACCAGACATGTCAGGCTGTGTTCAGAGCGAAGCTTCAGCCAAACTCTGTATGCAGCCATTGGGAAAAGAGCTGCTGGAGCGCAGTCTCGGGGAGCCAAAACAGCACTGAGCTGAGAGCCACTTCGAGCCAGGCTTCAGGTCCTTGTCACTGTCAGGACTGAAGTGGGCTCTAGGCTGACCGGCCCTAGATTATATAAACAATGAAAAAATGCAGAGGATGATGTGGCCTTTCTGATGATTGACCTGGAAAGGACTTTACGAGACCAAAACGTTACTAGCTGTGTTGTTTTAATTCCAGAATATACGCACTTTAAACTGTATTTGATGAGTGTATGTTTACAGATTACGTGATAAACATTGCTGGTTAGTACTAAAATATTTTTCCCCGGCAGGATTCAAGGTTGTTTTGATGCTTTGGAGAGGCAGTATGTAAGTTCTTGCGTGTTTTTTTAATGGACTTTTCTATTTTTTTTCATAAAGTATGGACAAAACTCTCTTTCTATTCCTGCTCTAAATTTTTGTAGTGATTTTATGTGCACACAACACACATTCACAGCTGCGGGGTAGGGAGAAGACCCTGCCTGAGAATATATGAGCATACATGAGAATGTATCTCCCTGAGATTTGGGAGTTTATTCCCAGAGCCCAAATATTGACTGCTGCTGCTCCCTGGACTTGCCTGTACATGGTGTGTGAAATAATTTGCAGCCTGAAAGGGTTCTTAGTTCTTTGTTCTACACTTATCTCTTAGTTCTGTGTTCTACATTTGCATTCTCCAATCTCTGGATGGAGACACTGCCAGTCCGAACTTGCAGGTCTTGATCTCCATGCCTGTTTTCTTGAGGAAGGTTCTTTCATGCTTCTGCTTTCCTTTGTCTCTTTCCTCAAGTCCTTTCCCTTCTTCCTATCTTCTCTAACTATCTTATCTTTCTGTCTTGGGTTCAGACTTGATTCCTTTTTCTGTAGAGTAATTCATCAAGTAATGTGTTTAACTGGTTTCAGGACAAAATCAGCTAGTAAGTAATCATATTCCTTGCTGATTCTCACACAAAAAAATGCTCTATACAGGAAAAAGCATCAATTGTCATCATCTCTGTCAGCACTGTTCATCAAACTGACTCTCATCTAGATCAGATGAAGAGGGGGGTTAGTTTCAGCACTGCTGATCGGATGGGCTCTTAAAATCAGTCTCATGGTGTGTATGGTAGTTCAAAATGTTGTGAACTCAGTTTATTGCTTGCTGACAGTTCTAGGAGGAATTTATTCCTCTGGTATTTATAGGAGACATAAATTGGTTGTTATTGGGCAAAGATTTAGGGAAAAACAGATATTTAACAGATGCTCTAAGATTGTTTTCAAGAGTAGTCCCATGTAGAGTTTCTTGTGATAGCGTAAATCAAATACCTTTGGTCAGTTTCTTACCAGAGAGTAAATACCAGTCTTCAGTAGGGATAGGTGCTATTGTGAAAGAGTTTTAAGTTGGCATAGCCTCTGAAGATTTGTTTAACAAGAGTCCTAAGAGGAAGTCTGAGCATGCAAATGTTTTCTTTGGGAAACTGCATGTGAGACCAAGTAAACTGGCCACTAGGTGTTGCTGATGCAGTGCTATGAAGAATCCATATAACGATTTTTGACTCAGTTTGTTGAATGTACATATTTGCTCTGTGTAGGCAGTTCGATTTTGAAATGTGTTTTTTTTTTTCCTCGCCCATTAAGGTTAGATTATGACTTTGTGATCTGTTTTCTCTTTTTTTCTCTCTCCTTAGTTGCATATCGCTGTCCTAGCAGTAAGTAAATGGATGCAAGGCATTTTTCTTCCTCTACCGTGCTTGACAGAGATTTGGAGTCAAGGTTGTGTCAAACCACTTTTTTAAGGGGAAGTCAAAATATGTGTGGTTTTTAATAGAGCAGCGACCTTTCTTAAATATGGTAAATATGAACTTCCTAGGCTGCGTGGGAACATTTTCTCAGTATGTCAGAATTCTGACTCTGAGGCCTGACAAGAATCCTTAAAGTCCAAGAAGCACTTTTGTGAGCTTCGTATTGTTGCTTCCAGCAAACTCTTGCCTCCATCATTGGAAGAAGGAAGCTGCTGTGTCTCCTCCATTTTCCTCTACATAGGAGTCCTCTTTATTACTCTGATACCAGTGAAACCACACACTAGCAGCTATGCTGGGAGTCTTTTGCCCTGGTCTTTTGTAAAGCAGCAATAGCTATTTTATGCACCTATTCTGTGCATAATTTGAGCATTTACATCTCAGGCATCAACAGTTACCTGTGAGGGTTGGAATGGGAATTAGCCTCATTCCTCCCCAGTTACACAGATGAGTGTCTTCTACCTGTCTTTGAAGTGGAAAGTATTGACTGCTGATAGAGGAAGGCTGTTTCTCAGCCATTCCTTTCTCTGATCCCATGTTACAGATAGTACAATCTCTCTGCTGTAATTTGAAAATATCATTGTTTATAGTCACTTTTCACTGGTTCATCTTATCCAAGGGGAGAATGTGCTCACTGTGCTTTTTTACAACAGATTTACACCAATCCCAAGGAACCGGAGGTAAGAAAGAGTCTTAATTAATCTTTGAGGCAACTGAAGGCATGGGTGAGTAGATTTTTATTCAGAATGGACTTTTGGCTTACGTTCTACCCTGACATAGCTGCCTGGTGACCTGGTTTCTCTTCTTCTGCTTTCACTCAAGAATGACAGCTCAGTGAGCTGGATTGTGATCAAACACTCCTACCGGGCACTAGGCTGTGGGCCCATCTAGGGCCTCAGGCAGGGATGTTAACAGGCAACTAATGGGCATGTTCCTGATTTTGTTTTTCTTCCCAGAAGGAAGAAATGGGAAGTTCAAAATCATTCTTTTATTCTATTATCATCTTTTTAACAGCAGTGTTGAAAAGGGAGCTGGTTTTTCATGCAGAGAGGTTTGGGATAGAAGTTATGAATTGCTCGAGACCTGGGGTGTATGTGTTACATACTGTGTGTGCTTATCCTTTCTGTGTTCTCTGGTGCGTTGCCATCTCTGCTGTTTTGTCTACATCTAGCCTGCAGTGACAGGCTCGGGAGTGCAATGTATAAGTGAGGTTCTGCATCCATTCTGTCTCCACAGAGTAGTTGCAGGGAATGGCTGCAGAACACTCTTACCTAATTACAGTTCTGCTGCATTGCCCCACAGCATCTGGGAAGGAAGCGAGGATTAGCCCTAACCAAGGCTAAAGACCGGGATTTGTAAGGAAGGCTCAGAGTTAAGAGCTCAACTCAGCTCCTCCCAATCAACCTTACTGCCTTTGAAAAAAAGTGAACCACAGGCATGGGACTGGATGACAGTAGATCCTTTTTCTTGTGTTGAAGTAGTTTGTTCTCCCTAATATTTTCACCTAAAACTGTAGCAAATCTTAAATGGAAAATCATCTAGATTTTTTTTTCTCTCTCACACAAAATTCTGAGACCACTGAAATTCAGCAGTTTCTGAATTTTGTCTTTATGATACCATTTCTATTTAGTAGTAGGAACAGCCCTTCAGGTCCTTCTTGCCTGTGTACAGAACTCTGGGCCAGATTTCCTTGTGGCATTGCATCACTGGGGAAGCCTCACATCTTTCCTTTTAGTAAGGGAAGACATCAGCGGATTGTGGCAGTTGGCTGGCCTTGGTGCCTCATTAGAGGTTTAGGCTGGGGAGTCAGGCCCACAAAGGAAGTGGAAGGAGGAAGCAGGAAGTTTGCAGCTTTTTGTGATTCTTTCAGTGCTAGGTGAGTTATGGTTCTTAAGAAAACTTGCCAATGCAAGCGATAATGGAGTTAAAGCTGTAATCATGTCACTAAATTAGTGCTGTGTTCTGACATAAAGTTGTTAAGTTCAGTACACATCTTTACGCTTGTTATTGAAAGAGACCTGTTTCTTCTTTTCATGTTCTTTCGTAAATCTCTAGACAGTGACTGAACTGTATCAATTCAAATTCAAGTACAAAAAGGAGGCGCCCCAGATGGACATCATCAGGTAATGGTTTGGTTTTATTTCTCAGAATGACATTATGAAAGCTCTGGTATTCCTGAAGCCATAAGAAGAAACTGCCCTTTATGATTATAGCATGTCTGAGTCGCTAAGCAGCTGTAAATACCATCAGAGTTGAGAACATTGTTCTTTCCAGTGAAGCTTTCCCAGGTTTGATCCCCTTTATGAAGATCCCACACCCAATATTTTTTTCCTCGGGCGTTTGCATGCATATATTCTGCTTGAGCAGCCTTGTGAGGGTGAGCTGGGAGGTCTTTTGCTGATCATGCCTGTGTTGATGCTGCAAATCTTTGAGTAGGAAGCAGCAGCAGCTTTTTGCGTCTTTTCAGCACTGTGTTTAGTAGGGCATAGTCCTGTTCAACTTAAACTAAATACTGTCAAAGGCAATTGGCTACAACCAGAGCAAAGGAAAATAATTAGCCAGTTTTTAGATTTCCTCTCTAATTACCATTGGTACAAGATGGACTTTTGGGCCTTGAAACCTGCCTTTGTAGCGAGAGAGCTCTGCTGTCTTTTATGCTCCTCAGGAGGCTCCTCTATAACACTCCCAAAGTGTGCTGTTCACCAGTCTTTCTCTAAACACATCCAAATCATTTGTCATACATGGCAAAATGATTTTCTAGTGAGCAAATCTGAAACGCATCTGAATCTGGAATGCCATATTGACTGTATCCTCTGATACTACCTCAAAGCTGCTGTTGATTGTCCTTACTACAGTGAAGAAAAGAGGAGAGCTTTGGGATATGAAAGATATTAGATGGCTCTTGAGTACATTTTGTTTTTGTCAGAATTACTCAGATCATTCATTTGTTCCTAGAAATAACAGCAGTCTCCAAATGGAACTCAGCATTCCTTAGTGTCCATAGTATTGCCCAAGAAGTGGCTAAGTAATCTTGCTGTTCTGTTTATATCAGCTTCTTTGAAATCTCTTTACCACATTGTTTGAACACTCGTGGCACCAGATTCCTTAGCTGTGGTCTGTGCCCCCAGTGACTGACACTGCTGCCACAGGATCATGCATGTACCTGCAGTTGTTAGTAAGCTGGCATGCTGGCATTGATCAGAGTATTGTCGTCTTTGCTGTCAGCTCCTTCAGTTGATAAAACTGCTTCTGTACACCTGCAAGGTTTATTGTCATGTGCAAACCTGGAGTTAATCATTCCGTGAGGGATGCTTTATGTCTGTGTCCTTGTATCTGAGTGGTAAGGAGAACCTTTCTCCTAGATGATCTCTGACCTATTTGTGTTGATTTTTGGAGGACTTCCTCACCAAATTCCTCACCATGGATCCCATCCCTCAGAGAGGTTCAGTTCCTCAGCTTCTACCTCTTGGCACGTTCCTGCATCAAATCCACAATATTATTCCTATACTGAACCAGTACTTGACCTGTTAATTCCTATGGAAGGTGTGTCCTTTTTTTGTATACATACTTCCCCCTGCCATTTCTATTCTGCTAATCCCAAAACTTGTAAAGATGACGTAGAAGGAAAATTGTGGCTTTTTGTTATTCCACCCTAGGTGTTGCCAGCATTTGCCCTCTCACTGGTACATTTCAGAACATGCAAGATTTCATTTGATGCATGCTCGGCATCAGTTTTGTTGTTAGCAGCTGGAAGCCTACCAAACATACATACCCTTGGGAATACAAGCTGTTCAACAGCCACTCAGTTTTCATGATGAGCCTAAAAGTTTCAACTGGAAGGGGAAGTCAGTCTTAATGAAGCTATGCCTTCCAGTGATTTAATCAGTCATATTCAGCCCTGGGATTCTCCCTGCTGTCTTAGGTTACATACTGCTTTTGAAGCAATTTGTGATGATTTTGTTAGATTCCATCCAGCCTACAGTGTTGTCCACCTGCCAGTGGTCTAACAAGGACATCATTTTGTAATGTAGGAGCTCCTTTCTTTAAAGCTTCTTTTCAGTGAAAGTTAAGGATGCTTAGCTTCCTTAGTCACTTAGTGATTCATCCAGTCCACCTTCAACTGTCTGATCTCAGCCGTTCATCTCATCTGCCTCAGTAGTCAAGAGAAACAAACTCCTCCAGAGGGAAATTCATCCCACTTCTGTTATACGTTTATCTCAGTCTAGACTGCTTGCTTAGACTAGCCAGCTGACATTTGGGTGGGTGAAGGAGGTGAGAGGAATGCCCCTTAGTCACTTTTGAAAAATGTGCTTCCGAGCTGGTTTTTCTTACATGGAATTGAAGTGAAAACATGTAATTCACTTCTCTTCAAAATGCAAAATGGACTTGAAAACAGCCACTGTGATGAATCGGCTTTATATGGGATTCTCACCTCATTCTTCTCATTCCTGAAATTGCTTAGGTGAAAGGCACTTGTTTTATGGTCCTTTGATCCAATTTAATCATGTTCAAACAAGTGAGTCATGACATTTGTATAATGGGGTCCATTGCCCCAGCTACAAAGTCTTTTCAAATGTAAATGCCATGCCTCTTCATTTAGAACTGTTGTTTTGCTGATGCCACCCCATCCCTGGAGTCTGTTTCACTTCCCTGTTTATCTGGAAATTACATAAAGGCATTGTAGCTTTGTTGCTGGTGGTTTGAGACAAGTCAGTGGGTGCACTGTACTTGTAATTAGATCTTGAATATTCATGACCGAGGAAAACAGCTCTGTTATTCTTCTTTCCATTGTAGCAACAAAATGAACTTTGTGAATGGGGTGTGCAGCGAGGACATTAAGCAAGCCAGCAGCCTGCTGATCCGTAAGCTGTACCTGTTAATGCAAAACCTTGGCCCGCTTCCCAATGACATTACCCTGACCATGAAACTCTTCTATTACAATGAAGGTAGGTAGAGAACAACGCATGCTGTAGGGACAACTTCCCTTTCAATCAGTTTCTGTGATAATCATGAGTCCCATAAAAGTAATACAGCTTAGAAAGGTGAAATGGCAGTAAACTAGTAGGATCTATTAGCTGATAGAGAGTTTGCACCAGTGAGAAATGGTGTAAAAGTAAAGCCTTCTGACACACTGGGATGGCAGATGCTTTGTAAGAAGGGGTTGAATATCCATGTAAGAAGTATAGCCATGCAGTGTGAAATGGAGACAACCCTCTTCTTCATTTTTTTTTTTAAGGAACCAGCATCTTATGTTTGCCGGGTTCTGCTCCAGAAAGTTGAGCTCATTAATGGTATCTCAGAAGTCTAAAGTTACTTTCTTTGAGCCCCTGGATAACATCTGCTCAGTCCATTTTTTTCCTTTGAATTCTCTCCCTTCTTCCCTCAACAAAACAAAACAAAACAACAACAAAAAAAAACAAACCACAGAGTATTTTTAGTAGCTGGTATTGTTTCTTGAGGCTGGTAGATATTTGTCTTTTATAGAGCAGATTAAAGAGAAATGGAACTTGGTTTCTCTGTCAGCAGTGGGTTCTTCCTCCCTCTGTAGTAACTCCCAGCGATTACCAGCCGCCTGGCTTTAAGGAAGAAGTCGGCCCTACGGACCTGTTGTTTGATGGTGATCCCGTCAACCTGAAAGTAGGGTCAGTCTCTACTGGGTTCCACACCATGAAAGTGAAAGTAACAACTGAAAACAAAAGAATGGGGAGAGTTGAAAGCAACCTGATCCAGAAGAATGGCCCTACTGAGATCTCCCATCAAGGGTTAGACTATGATGAAGAGGAAGAGGAGGGGAGCACCGAGGTACAGAAATAACTCTATTCAGTTTTCACTGGAGGAACGGAGTTTATCTAGCAAAAATCTCCTTAAAAGAAACATTTGCTCAGAATCCTAGTTTAATAAGCTTGTAGGGCAGCAGCACTACAGAGGATTGAGCTGGACTGGAAAATCCATAGGTGTAATGAGATCTTCTTTGGAGAGTATCCATTGGCTTACCGAGTGTAGTCTGTTCTCCCAGAAGAGGGCGGTGATTATACAGAGAGAGACACAACACACACACACACACTTACACGCTTATACACAGACATGCACAAACTGGGGAAAATTGCAGACTTTGGCATTTCCACCTGGTGTTTCTCAGGCCTAAGGCATTTTCCGCTATGTCGTTAGGTGAGATTCCTTCCACTACCCCTGGCCATCTAAAAGTTGGGCACTGTGTCTAATTTCTCTGGGGCCTTCTCTGGGTTTAGTGGAGAAGAAGGCATCTTTACCAGACAGTTCAGATAATTTCCTTAGCCAACAAGTTAGGGTTGAATGAATGGGCCTCTGGGGGTGCCACTCTCCAGAATAACAGAAGGGGCAGCCTGCAGCCATAGCTCAGACTTGACAATTTCATGTAGGTGATCAGTGCTAGGCAACAAAACATAACCAGCACCTGACAACAGGAAGCTATTTAGGTCAGAATTTTCTGTCTTTTCTCAGCAAATTTCTCTTCTGAAAGACCTGTGGGCTCTCGAGTAGGGATGCCAGGGTGCTGAGGCGTTTTGAAAATCCTTCTCTGTTAGTGCTGAGTTTATAGATGTATCACCTGAGCATATTTTTTTAAGTTACGCTATTAAGACAAAGCATCATTTGCATTGCAGGACAACCCTCTCCCTGTCAGAGCAGATTCGGGTGAGCCTGAAAAGGACAAAAATGATACCCATCCAGGCTGGAGAACTGAAGCATCTTCTTTTTGCCTTCAAGATACAGGTAGAGGTTCAGCTTCACAACTGAAGGAGCTTGTGCACAGAACTGCATCATAGCATAATGTGTAGATTTTCTCACCTACTTGGAAAGGGATGAACAGTTTGCCAGGCTAAATCAATTTTGTATCAGATCAGATTGAACTATAACAAAAGGCCAGTTTTGTATGCTTGGTTTGTTAACAGAAACATTCATTTTTTTTTATCATTATCTTTCCTCTTCTTTATCTCAGCAGTTTTTTTCAGATATGGAGGAAACGCAAAGTTCATTAATACTGAGTTATGTTATCTACATTTCACCAAGGCTCTTTTCCTTTAGCTGTTACAGTTTGATTTTGCTAATAACTTTCACATATGAAAACATGTGAACATATATAAAAAAAAGCCTTCTCTGTTCCTTCAGTAAGCCTAGTTTTGATATACCATGCTGTATTTGACCTTTGAGGCTCTCAAATACAGCCTGTGAAACAATCCTGTCACATCAGTAAGCCTAGCTTCTGATATACCCTGCTGCATTTGACCTTTGAGACTCTCAAATATAGCCTGTGGAACAATACCATCTAGTGACAAAATGGTAAATAGCATTCCTGAGATCCCCAAGCAGTGCAATAAAGAAGCTAGGCTGCCTATGAAGTTACCTTTTCAGGTCTTTCTCCTGCAGATTCTCCGATGACTGATAGGAGTGAACTCATTCTGACACCTTTTCCACTAAGGGGATATTTACAAGATCTTCCTCCTTTAGCTAATTGCCTGTTTTCAGGAAGCTCTGAGGCACTTTGGGACATTCCCATCAGATTTTATGAAAACTGTCTAATAAGGTCAACAGTTAGTAATCAAGGGACAAGCTGCCTATCCAACACAACCACTTGCACAGAGAATATACTGGCATGAGCCTTGTTTTCTTAAAAAGCCAGGTTAAAAATGGAGTTTAAGTGTCAACCTCATGGATTGGAGCTGCAGAAAGTTAATGTGTTGCACATTCAGATGGCACTAGTCTGAAATCTCTGTTCCAGTAATAAACTGCCATTGCTGGCACTGCCTGAGAACAAAGGTTACACAATTTCAGACCAGTTTTGGTACAGTAATTCATTCGTGCTTTTGCTTTTTTTTTTTTTTTTTTTCCAGTCAAGTGTAGGGTTTTCAACTTGAGAGCTAATTTTGATGTGTTTGGATTGTAGGAGGAAAGGAGAAGACAGAAATAGAAGGAAAGGGCAGAATGCCTTCCTCAAGGGCCTCTCAGCAGGTGAGAAAATTTTAGTGGTTCTATGATGTGCTGGGCAATGTGGAATTCATTTTCATGGAATATTACATCATCTGGATGGCACAGGATTCAAATAACTCCTGTGGATTTATTGTACAGTATCAAACATACTGCTACAAGTGTTACGGCATAGGGGTATAAGCATGAACTGGAAGCACTTAGGAACAAATATTCCGTGGTCAGCTTATTTCATTCATCCACTACAAGAATTTTTGTACTATTCCTGGAGTTGGCACTTGTGAATTACACATGCAGACTAAACATCACAACCAGGCTGTTTTACCTGTGTGTGTTTTTGGATTAGGGTTCTGAAATCACCTCCCTGTGTTAGGTTTGAAGACTGTGCTTGTCTGTTGCCTAAGATAGTCTTCACCTCTGCTTCCTTGCATGCAGACTGTCTTTATGTGTGAGTCACAGGTACTGTTGGATCCTATCCCTTTTTGGCTACCTTTCTAGGATAAGAAGACTCATCTATCCCCTGGAGGTGCTGATCTCTTTTTCATTGGTTACTGGGGCAATCCAAAGAAGTAGGGTGGACCAGACATGTAATTTTAAATATGTAAAGTTATGTGAAATTAATTCAGTCCTGAGACTGTCCAGGTCAAACCCTGAATCAGAATCAGAGCTGGAATTCCTGGGCTTGTGCATAAGTTTTTTCAGTGACACAGCAAATCTCTGAACACCACCAGACTTGCCACTTGATCCTTCTCCCACTCAAATTAGTTGAAAATGTTGTGAGCTTGAATGTTCTGAAAATGAATCTTTACAGGGTAAGTTAATGAGTAGGAAATTGCTACTAAAAATTTCCCTGCTTCTGTTGAAAAGAATCCTGGGGTGTCTAACCCAGACAGCAACTGTAGACGACTACTTAATGTGTCACTCAAAAGGCATCTCAGAAGTATTTGCCTTGACTCTGGATCTTAGAAATGAACTTATGTGCCTAGGCTGGTATTTTTCAAACTTTAACCACATATTTTTTTGTCACATCCTCCAGTTTCCTTCTGATCATTGTTTATTCTGTCGTCTCTGTGAAAACAGGAGCCTTTCTTGTTTGTAACCCATGGTTGTCCCACTGATTCACACTCTTACATTCTTTCGGGTCTGTCATGATTATAATCAGAGCACCAGACACCTCTCTCTGTGAATTTCATTAGAACACGGTAGCAATAGTGAGAGTTTCTGAAGGTGGTGGAAACCGTTACTGAAAAGTGGAAGAGTCACTTTATCCATTGAATGCTTCCAAAGACTTAAAAAAATAAAAATAAAAAAAAATCCCAAGCCCTCTGCCTGGTAAATTCTGCATGGCAGACAGTTTTTTTATTTATTCTTTGATACTATTTTCTAAACCCCCACAGCTTAGAAGTTGGCTAATATTTCAATTAGGTTAGGGAAAAATAAAATCAAGTCACTATTTAAAAAGTGCAGATCGTCACAGTAAAGCCAGCACTAATACAAATTTGACACTATTTTCCACGTGGGAGGGACTTTCCCTCCTTTTCTGAGGGAAGTGGGTAAAACAAATGACCATTGTGTATTCCACTTGTATCAGGAAGCCAAACTGTTGAGTGGTTTGTCTTAAAAAATGAGGGCAAGCTAGGGAAATTAGAGTTAGGTGTTACCTAACAGGGTCAAATACAGGTAAGATGGTAGAAGGAGTCCTGCTGGGGTGTGAATGCAAACATCTTGTTGCTATCCAGACTGCAGTACAGTCAGTTAATAGCAGTTGTCCAGCTGTCAGGTGTGTTCAGGGAGGCTCTGATTTGAGGAGGCATGAGGTCTCCGCAGGGAATTGCTTTCTCCTGGATTCCAGAGTTCAGTCGGCTTGGTACGTGAGGGTGCTCGAGGAACAACTTGGCCTGGGCCGTTGAGGTCTCCCTATTTTGGGCAGACATCGCCGTTAGACTCGCACTGCTAGTGCGTGACGAGTGTTAGGTTTCCACCAAAAGAGCCTCTTGAACTGCTCACTTAATTAATTGCTCACATACCAGTGCTGCCGTGAGGGAGCGGGCAAGACTGGGAAGTGAGGAATGGGGAAAAGAGGTCCTGGGAGGAGACCTCGCCCTTCTGCTGGCCGCGCAGCGCCGGCTCGCTCAGCTCTTCGTGGAGCAGCACCGCAGGGACTTGGGTTTCAGTGCTCGACTCTCTAAAGTTTAAGGCCAAGATTTTCAAATCTAACTAAACCAGTTCGGAGGGTCCCAGAGTTGGGTGTCTGGACAAGGATTTGATAATCAGAAAGTGCTGAATTCAAAAATCTGGTACTCGCAACCAGAAGTTGCTTTTGGAAGTTAAGACCAGCACATTACTGCTTTTCATCTGGGTGAACTGCTTTATTCCTTCTGGATTCTGGATTATCAAAAATAAGATCTGTGCTGTTGGGACAGAGTTTATCGTTCATTATCTTCCTGACATATAGCTTTTCAGGAAAACCAGGAATTAAAGTATTACAGGCTTATTTTTATCTATATGACATGGGCTGAAGCAAAGGATGCAGATCTGCCAAAAGAGAAGAAGCTATTCCTGCCCAGCTTAGAACTATAACTGGTGTTTGATAATGGCCATGGAGAGTCTCTGACAGAGGATTTTCAGATTGGAGAAAAATTTACATGTACTCAACTTGCTTGTTATCTGCAATCTAATGATTGATGATACTTAGGATCAAATGAGAGATTGCCCTTTCCCAGCAAAGCATCTCTGTGCTTAATCATCCAGAGTTAGACACCAGCATGTAAATTAGCCTACCTCTGCTGACTTTAGGAGAGCTTTTCTGATTGCATCAGCCAAGGATTTGTCCCAGTGTGCTATCTTTATGCGTCTTGCTAGTTGCCACTGGCATTCTAGGAGCTGTGGTCTGAAAAGTTGTATTAAGTAGGGAATTGCTGCCCATTGATTTAGTGTATAGAAATCTGCTGGTGGGAATGGGTTCCTGCACTGAATGTAAGATAACCTGAAAAACTTCATCATACTGCTTTATCTTCTTGAATCCTTGTCTTGTCCTGCAAATTGTTTTTTGTCTTCATATAAGCAAAAATGTTAAGTGGAATGAATTTGGAATGAAATAGTTCTAGAAGATGAGTAAAAGCTGAGTATGTGGACGCCTCTGCAGGCTTTTATCTCCCATCAGCAAGCTGTGGGCTGAAGTTCTGGGGTGGTCCTTCGAGTGCAGTCTCTTTGCACAGTGCAGCAGCCGTGCAGAGCCCTGAATCGCCCCAGACCAAGCCTGTGCCAAAGCTGGAAATGGTGTGGCTGCATCAACGCAGCACAGCCCAAGTCAGTTTTTGGCTTCATTAGCTAGGGCCAGACACTGCTTATGCTGCTGGACTGGCCACGCTCATGCTGCTGGACTGCTGTGGGACACAAGTGCGTGGACACAACTGGTTTGGATAACTGATAGCCCAGGGGGCTCTGCTCCTGGCAGAGGCATGCTGCTGCTGTGTGAATCAGCTCTGGAGCTGTCTGAAAGATGTCTAAGCAGAGATTCATTTGCCTAACTGTTTTAAAATGGTGTCATTTTAGGTATCAGAGGGTAGCCCAGCTGTCCAGCTGCTGCTCCCTATGCAGAAGTCTCAGGACTACGCCCCCCTTTCTGTTAGGGACTGTGGTAGCAAGGGGAGGCAGTGTGAGTGGTCACTCTTGCCCAACACACTGTGAGCAGTGTCTGTGCTGTCTGCCAGTGCCAGGTCATCCTGATGGAGATTCTCGTGCCTTTGCTGAGCTCTCGGTGTTGTCTGTGGCTTCTGTCTAAAAGTGAAGGTCAGCACCAGTGGGTCCAGTTGCAGAAAAACAGCTTGAAGATCAAGACCTTTGTTGTCTGATTTTTCCCAGGCAAACCACTTTTACAACTGCCATGACAGAAAGCAGTTGAAGGGTGAAGTCTGCCATTTGCAGAGCAATAGGAAAGCATTTTTCTGTGGCAATGTCATTATCTTGAACTTTTGCAGAAAAGAAAAAAAGAAAGGTTTATCTCTAACTGTCTATCAAGCAAACTGTATCTGATGAGAAGTTCCCAGAACATTTTCTCCTCCAAAGCAGCTGAGGCAACACAGACCCAAACAATGAAGAGAGCAAGATTCAGAGATGAGCTAGCCTTTCTCCTTCCTGTTAGCTCTGTGAGCAGGGAGACCAGGAGGTCAGGAAATTCCTGGCTTCTCTGAATTCATGTCAGATCCTTAGACGTATCTGGGGCCATTTATCCCTTGCATGAATTATTCCTGCTATCCCTAACTGCTTAGGAAACAGTTTCCTTGTGATCTCTTCATTCAGAGGTGAGGCTCATCACCCCACAGATGGGGAGAGTCAACCCACGTGCCCTCAGATTCCCTGACAGCTACTCCAGGGACATGGGAAGCCATGGAGCATCTGCACCGGCTGCCTTTGGACAGGTTCATAATTCACATGCCAACCACCAGGCCCTCTAGAGAAATCTGCACAGGGTAAGGCTGGACAGATCTAATATCCAGTGAGAATATCCCGTGAGCACAACTGAGGGTCCTGATAGAGCCTACGAGGAGAGAGACTGGTGTGCTTTTTTCCACTGGGTATTTTTTAAGTGTTTTTTCTTTTTTTTCCCTACTCTGCAAAAAATCTGTTCATTAGTCCTTTAAACGCAGTAAGATATATGAGATACAGAGTAGACGCGTGAGACTTCCAGTTTCAAAAAAGGAAATTGCGTTGAATGACAGAGATTTTAACAGTGAGCTATGGAAAATGAAGAGGACTAGTGGTAGTCAGTGATGTCTTGGCATGGCTTCCTGGGGACAGAAACGTGGCAAGTTTCCACCGGGGCACCACAGTGAGCGTCTTTCATTCTTCCACCTGCGTAAATTGGCTTGCACGCTAACCAGTGTGATTCTCCTCCACTTCGTACAGATGAAGATCAGGATTAATTCTACTGATGTCAGTGCGTTAGCTTTACTGGAAACTGATAGGAGATTAGTGCCAAGCCCTGCCTCGACCGTTTAACCTCTGTGCCGCCTTCACAGAATGGCAAAGGTCAGGGGGGACCACTGGAGAGCAGCTGGACCAGCCTGCTGTGCTTGAAGCAGGCTGCCCAGGACCTTGTCCAGTCACATCTGAGCGTCTCCAAGGATGGACTCCACGACCTCTCTGGACAGCCTGTGCCAGTTGATCACCCTCATAGTAAAGGAAAGCTTTTCCGTAGGTTTAAATGGAATTTGCTGCAATTCTGTTTGTGTCCTTTTCTTGTCTTTTCACTGGGCACCACAAAGTGCCTTGTGAACCCTTATTTATCTGTGCTTGGAGGGCATGGAGCAGCCCGCTGTCAGTGAGCAGACACAAATTACTGCCTTCAACCAGAGATGCCCGTTTACTGGGGATGCCTCACGTTTTAGGGGCTGCATTCAAAGAGCTTTTTCCAAGTCTTGCTTTTTGCAAGCAGCAACTGTTTGCTGTGCTACTGAGTTAGCTGCAGCTGAAATCACAGAATACATCAGGCATTGCCCCTCTCTGATTAAAGTTTCCTGATGGTGACAGATGTACCCTGCAGATATTTGCTGCCCTGGCAGTGGAGGGTTGTTCTGCCTTATTTCACCAGTTAAGTCGTGTATCTCAGTCCTTATTCTTCTGGCTTGCTTGATGGAACTGGGCTTCCTTTGATATTCATGTGCTTCTGAATTTGTTAGGGTAGTTACAAGGTACCACATTAAACACTCCATGTCCTGACAAAGGGAAGTCTTCTGAGGGCACAGAATGCACCAAGTGCCAAACCTCAGCATGGGGTAGGCCGGGGACAAAGAGGGGACACGGTTGAACACTTACGCTATTCTAGCTTTTCTACATAGGATGCCTTGGGAAGCAAAACACATGCCAGAAGAGCTGTAAATTTGCATCAATTTATGTTGGGAATTTTTGGCCGGAATACACGGGGACACTGGGGATTGAAAATTGCAGAGCACAAAACTAGGTCCTGATTTTGTCTATCTAAGAATAGCAGTGTAGCCGTAGTCTGCTCATTCTGCTCCATCCACCAGTCTGCCTTGGGAAGGCTTTAATCTAAGTCTAATCTATTTTTAGCCTGATATCTTCTCCAGACAAAGTGCAGCTGTCCTGCTAGCTTTATGCCAGAAATTAGTAACACTTGCATGATTCACAAGTTAGCTGTAATTTCGCAGAAAAAAAAAAAATCTGTGGCAAAATAGTACATTTTTACACACAGAGCACTACTGTAAAACACAGGAGATTCACACTCACTGTGTGCTCATGGTATGACCCAGAGCTACGTCGTGGACTGAGCGTCAGGAGGTCACAGGTCTCTTCCTGTCTTTGTTTGATCTTTGCTCGATCTGGACTTGTCCCCCAGTCCCGTCCTCAGCGTTGTCCCTTCGCAGAGGAGGCCTGCAAGCACCTGGCTCGACGCCGCAGAGGAGCTGAGGCTTGTAGTGGTTGTGTAAGACAACAACATTCGTACAGGCTGAGCTCTCCAAGTCATGCATCCCAGTACATGGGAAAAAAATACAATTGATCAACTTCTGGAGCCTTTGATTGTATGTTTAGTCAATGGGAGGGATTTCCTGCTTCTCACCACACCGTTTAAGAGGTTTACTTCTTGGTTAAAGTCAAATAAACATACGTAGGATTTGACTTAATCCCATTTAGTGTTGCATTTCTGGGGAAAAAGCCTGAGTGTTTGGTTAAGGTTGGAACCTGGAAGTTGGACTTGGGCTCTGTTTGTGGCTCTGAGCTGCGACGTGAACTTGTAGCCTTGCAGGAGCAGGACGGGACATGTTGACTTCAGTGAAATACCTCACACTTTTGACATCTTATTCATTCAGTAGATGAATGGTGCTTGTCTAGAGCACTTGATGACTTGCCTGGATGTTTTTACTTTTCTAATCTCAGGTTCCTGTTAGGTGGCAATTCTGCCTGTGGTAAAGGGAAGGAAAACATTCAGAGAGAAATCTGCAGCTGCTCGTTGTGGCTGCGTCTCCCACCTTGAAAGTATCCCATCCGTGCAGAAAACTTAGGAGGAATAAGAAAGGGGTAAAACTTGACTAAGTATCTGCTTCTGCTGCAGAACATCCATTCCTCGATAGAGGAAATAAAAGCGCCAGCTCAGGCTGACATTCTCGTTATGCGGTTTAGGCTAAAATAGAAGAGAGCTGCCTTATTCAGGTGACGAGGGGGCTGGAGACTGGGGATCATTGCTTTGCTTTATTGTCTGGCCAGCAGGACATGGTACAAACTTTGCAGCTGTGTTAGCACTGGAGAGTGTCTGGATGCAGTGTTTCCACCCTCAGGGCCCTTTACATCAAAAAAGGAAGCAGACAGGTTCAAACGATGCCAGGGAGAGGAAAGTAAATAACTGCCTAAAATGCCAGTTTGAGCAGCTGGATATCAGGTCAGAGCTGTAACACAGAGATCGACTCATCAGTGTTTTCTCAAGCAAATATGCCTTGGACAGCGCTGGAAATTTTGTCAGACATGAGGGAGAACCTGCCTGTCCCACTTTGGCAGATTCTCCTTTTCTGTTTTCATGGAAAGGAAGTTGTACTTTGTGCGTTAGCCAATATCATGTTGCTCATAATGAAGAGGAGGGAAGAAGGGAAGTTGAAACATGATAGAGAGGCGAAATGGGGTTGTTTCAAACTGTTTTGCTGCTAATCCGTAGTCAGAGTTATTTCACACGTTAGAAAGACCATTGCTATGTCGAGATTACCAAAGCCTCATACCAAGGTCAGATGGAAAGAAAGCCTTGATGACGTGGGTGGGGAATTCTATAACGACCACATTTTGTAATCTGGAGACCTTGTGCTTGTCTCCAGGATATGTTCTGGAATAGCTTTTTATTAACTCCTTGTGTTTTTCCTGCTTCACTTACAGGATTCCTCTTGTTTTTGTAGTGAAACCAGAGCAAACTAATCTTATTTTGAAGCAGCAACATGGTTAGCTGTTTTTTTCCCTCTTCATTCACCTTGCTTTCATCCAAATGAGTTTTCTTTTGGAGGCAAAGTTGAAGCAGTGTGCTGTGGTGTGTCCCTTCAGCTCAGTTCCAGCGAGAGCAAGATAGGCTACGCTGCCTGACTGTGTGCCTTGTCTCTCTGGGTGGGCTGTTCTCTGCAGCTCTGTGTTATAATTATACGAATGTAAATATGTCCTGCAATAACAAGTGAGTTTGTCACTTAAATGGCACAGCCAACACTTCAACTGTCGTTCTGGCTGTTCATCTCTCAGTGATCTGTCTGAATCGCCCGAGACCATTGACCCATTTATCCTGTAACATACATTTAGTGGTGGTTTTTAACCTTTTGATTGGTAGGTCTCTGGGCAATTTTGGAGGGAGGCTTGTGTCTTCCTATAGGGAAGTTAAGCCTTTTGAAGCAAAGCTTGCTTCACTTGGTTATTTTTCACAAACTCATGAGAAGTCTTGGAACTCAGAGGGCAACTAATTCATGTTGAAATTCCATGGTGTGCAAATAGAGGTACTGTATGTCTCATCCTGAAAGGCTGTTTCAAGTGACTGCAGATTTGACATAAGTGCCTCTCTTCTGTTACATGCATTTACGATTATCTGATGGTAAAAGAAGCTTCTGCCCTACAAGCTATTGCTGTTTCTCAAAGATCTCCTTGTTCCTTGTATTTTCTTTTGGCTGTGGGGCCGAAACATTCTCTCTCCCTGAAGCTGAACCTGTTGCTTTCACAAACCTTATGGTCTCAGTTCCAGCGAGTATTCCAGTTTTGATTCCTTGCCTAATGGCTTTTCTGGAGAACAGGATCACAGTAAATAAACCCAAGAGGATCCAGGAAAACACATTGTAGGTTTGGAAGTTGTGTTTCTTGACTTGTCTAGCAAGAGCCTGTACCGTGAGAATGATCACTGCTTCTGATGGTTCTTACAGATAAGCTGCCTGAACCTTGCATTTAGCCAGGAAGAGGTAATAGGACTCAAGAAGAAAAGGAAGGTCAGTGAACCAGAGAAGCTGCTTCTGGAAGGCAGGAAGTGATGTTCGCTCTGACACAAAGTGCATTTAGAAGGTGTGAGTTTGCGTTGTCATCTGACAAGTAAAGACATTTACTCTCTCCTCATATTTAACTCTCCACACACCACGTGTGTTTCTGCATATTTGTCTAGTGCAAACCGGTTTGCAAAGAGACTGCAAGCGCCATAACTGTCCTGACAGCGTGGGCCAACAGCACTTGTTCCATGTTCTAAAGTTGAGGATTGATGATTCCATGTGAATGTGTCCGTGTGCTTCTTTCTGTCCGAGTTCTCCCTCACTCCACACACACCCCACTGGCTAAATCTGCTCCTCGGTGGCCTGGGCTGTCCTTCGCCAATATGTCATCAATATTAACGGCACTATTTCAGGATGAGCTCTCTGAGGTATCAATGCCAGCAAACAACAAGTCTCATGATTCATTATGCTTCCTCCTATCTACTGTTTCCGGAGCGCTGATTTTTTTTTTCAAAGAAGTTTTTCTTTAATCTGTATTGAATACAAAGATAAAGTAATCTATAAGCATTTTCTGCTGCCGCTGAATGTTTTCTTTCTGACTCTGCAAGTAGTGTTGCCATGACTATATTATCAGCTTATTTCTAAAGCAGCAGCTACCACGTACCAAGGGGCTTAGTTAAGTGATAGAAATCATGTCGAAATACTCCACATTTAAAACCTAACTTTTATAAAGGTACCTCATGATGGCAAACACAGGTAAGGAGAGCAACAGCAATAAAAGAATTTCTGTGTCCTTTGGAGCAAAGGTGCTGTGTATTCTGGCATGCAGATTGCCTGGCAGACACTCTGTCAAGTTATTACTGGAGTGGAGCAAAATTGTCTAATTGGTCTTAAACGTTTTTCAAAAGGTGTTCATGGAACAGCCTCTACATTCCTTTATGCACATAACAAAAGAGATACTGAAACACGAAACACCGAAGGGAATTTAGTGCACCCTCTTCCCAACACGGTGTTGATTGAAGAGTTTAAATCTTACAGGGATGGGGAAATAAAAACACTGGAATACAACAGAGTAAGGCACCTCGTAGTGTAGCATTATCCCGGCCATTTCAGAAAATGCAGCAGATTTCGGGACAGGGCTTGAAGAGCAGCAGTGGTTTTGGATGTAAGGTGTTTCTTCTGTGGTGTATGTCAGCTCCACAGGAAGGAGTGAGGAGCACTTGACAATTGTCTGACCCATAGCGTGCAGAAGGATGTTGGCCACCAGTGCCATCGCTTGGCACACCGGGTTCCCCACTGCTATTAACGTGGGGATGGTTTGTGCTGCGGCAGCATTTGGGATTGGCTCCAGGCATCAGTGGATCTTCCTGCCTGCTGAAACTATCACCTCTCTGTGACTGGGTAGAAGTCCCACCAGGAGGTGGGGATTGATGCACCTCTCTTGTGCTTGTACTTGGCTGGCCACCTGAAGGAGTTGCAGGCCAGACCAGAACTGTCTGGGTGGAGATCACGCTGAAGCTGAACACCCCTAAATGTTCAGTTCACCTCCTCTTCCAGGTAGCTGAGTTACGCACTTGCAATCCTCATGCTAATACCACAGCTGTCCTTACTCGGCCCGAGGCAGACAGACCACTGACTGTCCGTGAGCCTGCAGCAGTGTCTGGCAGGTTTTGTGGCTTGATTCCTATTTCACAAAACTTGCAGAACACGAGTTCTCCATTTTATCCTCGCTTTCAGTCCTGTGTTCTCACTTTTGCACCTGTGGCCTAATAAGCCAGTTTGTTCACATGCCAGAGCAAACGAGAAAGCTTCCTTGAGCCCAGATTTTGTAACGATATTTGCTCTCATGCCTGCACATCCACGGGAGGCCTGCGTTCTTCACGGCACAGCTACAGCTCGGGACCTGCCTTGACCTGACAGCTTTGCCCTCGTGCTGCTGGAGGTTACGGTTCTGCATTTCTTCAGCCCACTGACTCCTGCCTGCCCCCGGAGCCTCGTTTTATTGTTGTATTGTGCAGAGAGGAGAAAGACAAACGTGTCTCCGTGTTTATGGTAACTCAAGCAAGTTAGTCCCTCAGCTTGCTTCATGCACACTGGAACATGCAAGGTGTCCTGGCCTGCAGCGAGAGGGAGGTAGGCTGCCTGGTGTTCCCGCACAGCACGAGGGAGCACCCAGACTCTGCCGAGTAAATCCACGGCTTAGCTGACCGGACGGTGTCCTGGTCTTGTAGCCGTGGCCAGAGACTCACTGTCTCAGTTCACATTGGCTTCTAATCAGCTATTTTACGGTAATGACTTTTAGTCATTTTCATTTCAGGCTTGGTTAGAAGTAAAGTAACTTGTGATGAATTGCCACAGTAAGCGTCTGATTTTTTCTTTCCCACAAGCTTGTGGTTACCATCAGATTCTAAGAAAAGTCTTTCCACTGCAGATTGGAATCATCTAAGCCACTTACACATATCCTTTTATTTATTAGCAATTCTGCTTGGCTAGCTAAAGGTAAAAAAACCTTTTTCTTGTGTTTCAGTCGCATTTCTAGTTACCACTCGTTAACTGACTTAATGCGTGTTACACATCGTCAACCTGATTCACTACTGACATAAAACAGAAGCAATTCGTTAGTAACGGTCCCTTGCCAATTAGTGAACTAAATTACGTTTGAATAATTTTCTTCAAAGATTCTCCTCCTCCCCCCCGTGCATCATTTGGCAAGTCCCCTGAATACTTACAGTAATTACGTGCATGCAGTGAAAGGAGACTGTTACCTCTTAAAGCAAAATAAATGAATATGTGATCTCTGCGTTAATATAACAATGAGTAATACAAAGAATCACAGACATCCTCCCTTTGATCTGCCAAAGATATAAACAGCAATTAAGATGACAGGCCGTTTCAAAAACCAGCATATTGGGAACGTTCTGTGAGGGGAAAGTGAATGTTTCTCAGGGCTTTCAGAAAATCAGAGAAGAAGGGGAACCCTTTCTTGTCCCTCGTGACCACAGGCTTGTTAATCGACGTGATGTGGGTATCCTTACACCTGCCAAGCCGCGAACAGGTTGGCGGTGCTTCTGAAAACCGTTCCCTGTTTCTGGGATAGCGTTTAACAAGAAGAGTGATATCTCTCTTTCAAACTGAAAGTCAAACTGAAGTCAAACGGAAAATGTTCAGCATTGTCTCAACCACATCCTTAAATATACTGTCCTTAACAAGAAAATAACCCCGGCCTCTGGTACTGCGCACTAATCGTATGGACAGGTGTCAACATTCGGTTTTTACCTGACAGCTGAGGATTCTTTTGGGATTTCCACTGCAGCGTGTGCTCTAGGAAATTATCTGCTCTGACTTTCGGTTCTGGAAGGAGAGCAAAAAGAAGAAACGAAACGTAACGCACGGGTAGGAGAAATGAAGAAACTTTCACACTTTAAACAGGAGGGTTAGAGTTTAATGTCAGTGGAGCATGGAGTGGCCTCTACCCACGACGGTAATACAAAAATCCCGTTGTAACACTGTCCACATGAGCTAGGCTATCGTTTTTTCCTCCAGTGAATTTCTGAATTGCTACCAGTGAAACATCTCAGCCGTCCCTTGCTATAAATGCAATCAGAAATCAGCTGGTATTTTTGACAAGTCTAATAATAAACCTAAAGAACCATTCCCTGAGTTTATCCTCTCAGGATCTCGGCTGGAACTTTAATTTTTGGGCATTCTGCATTTTTCCTCTGTAGTCAGCAGGTAAAGTACGTAGTCGTGGCTGCTGCAGCTGAGTGCCTGCATTTGTCATGCCACAGGGCTGCCATTCTCGGGGGCCAAGAGCTCCGTGCCAGCAGCGTAATGTCACCCCAGTGGAATCCCACCCACGTGTGCTGCTGGGCAAAGTCCTTTTTGTTAATGGATGAGTAAAATTTCATCTGGCTTTTGTTGTCATCACGAGGTAAGTAAGAGGGATTTGCATCTGAGCTGGCACATTTTCTCTCGCCACTTTCCAAGGCTAATTTCGGGCGGATTGGCACGGCTCTCCTTCCTTTACACGGAGGCTGAAATTCCGAAGCCTCGCAGGAGTTTTCCATAGGAAACGCCGCCCTGGGCATCCGTGTGCCAGACGTGCTCGTACGGCATTTCCCCGAGCATCAATGACCTACTGTTCTAGCGTGGAACCCATCGGCCTTCCCGTGGCGAGTCCTAAATATCTTGCAGTGAAATTTGGCTGCAGCTCCGTGTTTAACCTGTGTTTAAGGAGGGGATCAAGCATCTTTTGGGCAGGTTTAGGGGCTGCTGGTGCTATTTACAAGGAAGCCCCCGCGGGCTGCCTGGGGGGACCTGGGGAAGCGCCTAGCAGAGGGAGCAGGGAGCTGGGCATGCCATGATATATTCTGTTCGTATTGCTTGTATTTCTTTACAGGACGTGCAGTGAGGGGATGTTTATTCTGATGAAAGTCTAGGCTTGATAACAGGAAACCCAAGTCCTTTGTGCAGTAAATTGACCTTGAATCACACACACACACGGCTTTTTTTTTTGCCTTTTTTTTTTTTTTTTTTTTCAGCAACAGAGGGTAAGACTGTCTAAAACACAGGAAAGTGATGTCTCTAGAAAACAGGGTGGCATTTGGAGTTGGCTAGAGCCTAGCCAAGCCTTTGCCAGCCTCAGAACCGTGAATGTCATCCCGAGCAGGTGGCACACGGCTCGGGGAGCCGCCAGGGGGGCGAGGGGGACAGTTGCTTTTTGTCCATGAAAAGGTTTTCTTACAGGTTCAGGCTAACCAGGACAGTGAAGCTGCGTGTCCCCATGGATAAGGCACAGCTCAGGGTCTGCCCAGAGGGGCATTCAGAGCTCCGTTAAACAAACCCCATCCCCTCCTGGGCAGTGCTGGCCTATGGGGCAGGAGCCACGTCCCATTGCAGAAGCTGCCCTTACAGATCTTTAATCTTGGATGTTTCCAGATGCTTCCCCAGCGCTAATAAAGCAGCAGCATCAGTAAGAACCAGTGAAGGAGCTCTGTGTACATGCAATAAAAAGGCTGGTCTTTTTTTTTTAAATCTGCTGTTCCGGTCAAGGCACCCAAGACCTTCACTGAGCTCTGCTCACACATCTCCGGGTGTAGGGGAAACCTTCCCCGAAGCTGTCGGGGGGTTATTCCGTTGTCAGGGGGTTATTCCATGGTGAAGGGCTTCTGAATCAGTGCAGACCTCAGACACGTGGAAGATATTGGTAAGCGCGGCCGCTAGACAAAGCGTGGCAAGTGTTTCCTTTGGCTTGTGGTTGTTTGGCTGTTACCTGGTTCCCCTGCGGAGGCAGTGGAATTATGTGCTGAGGTGAAAAAGGAAAGAATTGGGCCAGCTGTCTGACAGCATTTACTTTCTGTTTTCTAAGAGAAGCTTAACCTGGGGCTTTGGGGCAGGAATAGCAAAAATAAAAATAAAATAAAATAAAATAAAATAAAATAAAATAAAATAAAATAAAATAAAATAAATAAAATAAAATGAATAAAATAAAATAAAATAAAATAAAATAAAATAAAATAAAATAAATAAATAAATAAAATGAATAAAATAAAATAAAATAAAATAAAATAAAATAAAATAATAAAATAAAATAAAATAAAATAAAATAAAATAAAATAAAATAAAATAAAATAAAATAATAAAATAAAATAAAATAAAACCGACCAAACTCAAAGTCTGATCATCTCTGTATGCGTTGGATAAGGCCAGAAGGGATGGCCCGAGGATGCTCGCCGCTTGCGTCAAGTTTGGGGATGCTTCGTGTGCCTGAAAGCTTGGGGTGACTCGGGGACCTGACCCACAGCCACCCCGGGGCTTCTACGGGGAAGGTTTGAGCGTGACGAGGGCCGGACACGGCCGTGTGTGCGCTCTGCCTTCAAGGAGACGTCAGCCTGTGAGCGGACGCACGGTGCTGGTGGCGTTTTGGAGGGCCAGCACCCATTTCTCGGCAGAAATCGCGGCGCTGGTTGGCTGGCCCGCTCCCTTTTTCCCAGGCTGTGTGAGAGCATCGCGAGCCCTGAGGTACTTGGCTACGGGAGGTTTTCTGCTCTGGAATTGGCAGCTGCTCACTCCGGAAGAGAATCAGCATATTTGGCTACTGACTGCAAAGGAAAAGGGAAAAACCATTATTATTTCTTTTTCATTTTGCTTTTTAAGCTATCCGGTGGGAGACATTGTCTGCGTTTGGGTGACCCTCATTACTAAGGCATTGCTAAGGCTTCCCTCCTCTGCCCTTCGCCTAAAAGCAGAAAAGGAAAAAAAATATATATTCAGTTCTCCAAAACGCATATATTCGCCTTGGCCGGATTTGGAGCCGGCCGGTGCCAAGCATCCAGCATCAGGCCTTACACAGCAGTAGATTCAACGTCACGGCTCCATGAGTCAGGGTTTTCTGTCTGAAAAGCCTCCACGTCAAGAAACCCGGGACAAAAATTCCCTCTAGCCCAGCAACAGAGCCTGCTGTGTAGGAAGCTCTGTTAGGAAAGAGAGCTCGATGCGCGAGTCAGATATTTCAGCCTGGGCACCCTTCCACGGCGCACAAAGGACGCACTCAGCCAGGCTCAATGGGGCCGCTCATGACTCAAGTGCTGCGATCATCGCCACGGGAGTGCCGGGTCTGAAACTGGAACCCAGGGGCCGGGGGCCCTTTGGGGTTGCTTTGGGACCCGGGGTGTCCCCCCCGGTGCTGGGTGCGCCGCGGTGCCGAGAGGTGCCGGTGGCACCGGGCTCTGCCCCGGCACACGCTGCCTGTGGGCAAGGTTTGGGGATTTTCACTTGCAACCAGCATTTCATCCACTTTCCGACAGTAATTTCACTGATCCCTCGGGACGTTTGAGCACCTTTATTCCCCCTGTGAAGAGGGAGAAACTGAAATTTAAACTGGGAATGACCCTCTCCGGGTCACGCTGCTGTGATGTGGCAGAGGTCTGGGCTCTTCAAGGTGCCGTCACCGGGCGCTTATCTGGAGTTTCTGGTATTGCACGTAGCTCTGGTACGAATTTCCCCTGCTGGTCAGGAGTACTCCAGGAGAGCCTTGCCTCTCAGTTTCACCTGCACCTCACTCGGGTGTCGCGGTGGCGTTTGGCATCTCTGAGAGGCCCCTGTAGAAGGATTTTGGCATCTGAGGGAGGCCAGCACCCCTAAAGCCCCAGATCTGGGCAGTGCAGAGAGCTCAGCTCTTTGCTGGGATGATTCAGAGCAGAGAGAGATGACTCCTCTCGGTTGCCCTAAAGGAAACCTTTCGTCTCTGTTTCTGTATTACCTGTAGGGGACCTTTCCCCGCTAACACCAGGCTGTGAATGAGCTCATGTGAATCCCCATCCAGGTCACACCGCTCTTTTGGACCTGCAAAGCCCCCGTGGCCTCGTACAGGATGCCGAGGAGCTGGGCACGGGCAGATATTTTCCATCTCTGCACTGAGGAGGCTTCGCACCTTCCGCTGGAGCATCTGGCGTTGGTTACTGCCCGAGGCAGAGCCTGGCTGCGGGGGCTCTGGGTCTGATCTGGCAATTCCTGCGGTCCTTTGATCGTAAAAAAAAAAATAATAAAGGGTTAGCCACCACTTGCTGGTGCAACAGGGATGAGAAATCGTGCTGGCTTCAGTACTTCTGCAGCCTTCTGAGAAACAAAGAGCCGCTTTCTTTGTGTTTGGTGATCCTGGAGATTAGAGCTGATCCCTATAAATCCCGCAGCGTGCACGGCATTCCCCAGGACGTGTGTCCGGGCCACCCCGCTCCCGGCTGGCTCCGTGCAGGGCTCCCCGGGGGGCTGAGCCTGGGGGCAGCAGAACAGAGAGCGAGCAGAGGGGATTGGGAATCCTCCTGGGGACAGGGAGCCCCTGCAAAGCCCGGCTGGAAGGGGCGGCAGGGACCACCCGGTGCAACCCAGCCAAGCGGGCGCTTTTGGTGATCATCACCTGTTCCTCAGAAACTCAGTTTTCTGCTCAAAAAATACTGATGCAGAGTGAATTTAGGTGCACTGGGAGCCTGGAAGCTCTTTGCAAGGGACTGACCTTGGGGAAGGGGGAGACCAGCCCTCTGCCAGGCAGGAGCTGCAGGGGAACCTGGGTGCCTTCCAAGGCAAATTCTTGAGCAAAGTGAGGGCGCAGCTTCCCCATGGCTGGGGGCAAGGCAAGCCTGCTCAGGTGGGAAGTTCCTTCTGGGATCCACCTGGGGAAGAGAAGGGGAATTTGGGAACCACCAGGCTGCGGGGGACCCGCTCAGGGATGGGCAGAGCTGGTCCAGCCCTGCGGCAGGTAGCGGCACTTTCCCTGGCACGTCGGGAGCTCCGTGCCCTTGGGCTTCCCGGCTGGATGTTTGCACGTAAACACGCACACGGCATTGCAAAAAGGGAGGAGGGTGCAGGATTTCCCCTTGCCCGCGTGCCCAAGCTGCTCTGCTTCCCGGTGTGCTCTGATCCGGGATCAAAGAGGAGAAGCTGCCCTGCTCTTCCCTTCCTCCTCCTGGTTCGGCACGGTGCCAGGACGGGGCCGCGTGTCCTGGGCACCGTGTGACGTCCCCACAGCGAGGACGGGTGGCACTGAGCAGCCTCCTTGCATATTGCCAAGGGGGGGAAAAGCAAACGCAGGTGAGGGTTGAGAGGGAACAGCAGGATTTCACCCCACACCTCCCTGCCACCCTGCTCCTCAGCCTGCAGCTCAGCCCTGAGCTTTGTGCTCAGCCCCAAACCCTGGGCTCCAGACGGAGAAGCTGAAATGTGCCAGCACGAGCTCGTGAGCGGCTCTGGACACCTCCCAGCTCAGCACGGCGCAGCGAGGGCTGCGGGCTGACCCCACGGGTGCGCTGGCATCTGGCATCCACATGTCCCCATGTGCTGGGGCTGCTCCTTACCCTTGGCACCGGCTGGTATTTCGGGTTGGGACGTGGCACCCGCACGCTGCCCCAGCGGCTTCGGTGCAGCGGAAGCGGCTGCTGGCAGCCTCGAGCCACTGCTGGCAGCGCTGCGGGCAACCACGTTTCCTTCCCCTCCAGCTCGCAGGAAGGGAAGCTGCAGCTCCTTTGCCCTCCGGCAGCGATGCGCCTTGGGGTGCCGCAGGGACACCGCTGGTTTGTGGTCCCCAGCAGGGCTGAACGCAGGGGTTGTGCTCGGAGAGGTGAAACGGGGATGAGCCGGGGGGCTGGGCGGGGGGAGTGAGTGCCTCGGGTCACTTTTTGGAAAAATGCTGATGTTTCTAGGGAACTGCCCTGCCTGCGTTTTCTGCCCAGCTGGCTCCTTCCTCCCCTGTGGCGACGAAAAGCTGTTTTTCAGCCCAAAGTGACTCGGTTCCCCAGCCCCTCTCTGGGAGCCTTGTGACACCGCCTGTAGCGGTGCTCAGTACTTTCCCACAATAGCTTGGACACCGCTGTAAGGAAGCCAAAAAAGCCTTCCGGCTCCAGGAGGGATTTAGCCCAGCAAACCCATTCTGCTGCCTGAGCTCAACCCCTCGCGCTGGACGTGTCACCTCCCTGCGAACAGGGCTGCAAATCCCAGCCGGGAGGTGGTGGAAGAAAGTCAGGGCAATTAGGGACCAGTGCCCGGAGATGCCGGGGAGAGCGGCGTGGAGCCCGCCCTGCATCCCAATCCTGCCTCTTCCTTTCGCACGCAGCAATCCTGGCGCATCCCCAGCCTGGAAAACCTCCCCTGAACCTCTCCTGCGGCAGAAGCCCGGGGTTTTCTTGTCCCACCTGCTGCTGGCGGCTTGCTGCCTGTGCAGCCGTGCGCTCCCAGCCCAACCTTTTCCAGGCTAAGCAATCGCTGGGCTCTTCCATCCCTTCTGGCAGGTTGTGTTTGCTCGAGCCGGCCGTGCTCACTCTCCCCATCTGGGTCAGGGTTTTGGTGACACGTTCAGGTCGTCCCCATGCCCTGCCAGCTCACTCTCGGCCCCTCTCCAAACCCCGCATCATTTTCTTTCCCCCATCCAGCTCAGACCCATGGCATCGTGCCATCACCCATGTCACCAGCCCGGCTGGTCCCGCTGACCACTGGTGGCCCAGTGGCCACCTCCAGCTGGAAGCCACCAGCCCCGTACCCCTCTGGACACCTCCGGCAGCTCTCCTCCCCGCGAGCTCCTGCGCCGCGCTCGCGTCCAGGCAGCTGGAGGAAATCAGCGCTGGTTGGAGACAATCTGGGCAAAGGCAGGGGAAAAATCCTGGGAGCTGGCAAGTTCCTACGCAAGTTTCCATGAGAAATCCAGCGCGGCCATCGCCGGCCCGCGTCTGTGCTGGATCCCTCCCAGCCCTCTCCCGGGGTCAGCGGCGCTGCCAATGCCCACCCAGCTCTCTGCTGCCTCCCAGCCAAGCCTGGTCCCGTGCCCGCTGCGCCGGCGGCTCCGCGAGCCCCCTCTCCAAAAGGGACGTTTCCAAGGCCCCCGGGGAGCCGGCCGCCTTTTGTTGCTCCCGTGACATATTTATTGCTATCGGTATATTCTTTAATTTCCTTTGTTTCAGAATATCTGACGGAGCAATTCAGGAGGCCTGAAGGGAAGCGTGTGTGCTCGGTCATCAGCCCTGCGGTTGCTGTCTGTCTGGAAGCGGCGCTGGAGCTGGGCTCGGGGAACAGCTGCCAGGCTTCCAGCCTTGTTTTCCTTTCCTAAGAGGTTAGCTGAGAGCCCGATGTGAACAGACACCCGTCCACACCCAGAAACACCGCCACACACACGGAGCCACACGCACACATGCATAAACACGCACATAAACACAGATGCAGGCCGGCGTGCGGAGACATAAACACACCCGGACACAAAACCGTCCCGAGCGCGCGGGGGGCACCGCCGCCAGGATGCCGGAGCAGCACCGTGCCCGTGCAGACCCCGGAGGAGCTGCACAAGCTCCCCTTGCTCTGGGTGGGTTGTGCAGCAGGCAGCACGGAGCCTGGTGGCTTCTTCTGCCCCAGGGCGACGGGGCAGGTTCCTCTTGCTGTTCATCCGAGACCCTTCTTGGGGAAGAGCCCGGTCACAGTAGCTACAAAGAGGCACAGCTGGGGTTTGTTTCCTCCCAGGCTTGGCCCTGGTGTGAGCATGCGAGGATGTGAGCGAGGATGTGAGCGAGGATGCTCCCAGGGCTGCAGCTCCCATCAGTTCCAGGGCTGCGCTGCTCTTCCCCACCCCACTGGCACTGGGAGCCAGGCCGGTGCCCTCCTCCAGCGCATGCAGGGGTGGCCAAAAGCTTTAATATTTATTGTGGCAGGGTTAGTAAAGGAGGGGGCTCATTGCTTTGCCCCAAAGGGTGGTAAATCCTGGTCCTTCCCCACCCCAGCTACCCTGACCCCCGGGGGACCGGCGGTGCCAGGGCGCTGGGCACAGGGAGAGGCCGCCCACGGGCACCAAAAGCAGAGCCCGGGGTTTTGGCAGTGGCACCACGGGGTAATTGCTGCTCCCCCATGGAAAACCTCATCCTGGAGCCCTGAGGGCATCCTCTGTGGGGCTGGGACGGATGTTGCCCACCTGGGAAGCACCGGGCCAGGAGGAGTGCAGACATCTCGGAGCTGCAGCATGAGTCAGGCGCGCCGCTCCCGACAGCTCCGTGCCTCGCGGGGAGCCTGGGCGCAGAGGAGGAGGCTCTCGGATGGATGGTAAAGGCTGGTCCCCGCCACAGCTTCCCCACTGCCGGGGGGCTCGCTGGGGCTGCTGCCTTCGCAAGGCGTGTAGGAGCTTCCTACCTGTGAAGGCCTCGGGCCATCGGTCGCTGCTGGTTGGCAGCCACAGGCTCATGATTGCGCACACACCTTTTTTTTCTTAGGAAATGAGGCTCAAAGAGGCAGCCACAGGGGGAAAAGGGAGCGTGACCCGCATCTGGTAGCACCAGGCACGTATTTCGCGTTGTTGCAAGAAGTGAACGTGTCAGCTAAGCCCTGAAAAGTGTCCCTGGGGCAGGCAAAGCCCGGGGGGTGCCTGGCACCCATGCGGCGAGCTTAGCACGGTTGAGGGAGATGCAGCCTGAGCGCCCTTTGAGGCCCTGGGATGGGGAGGGGGGCAGTGGTGGGGTCCTGCTGGGGTCTGTGTGATGTGGTGGAGGTGCTGAGTTGGGTGCTATGGGTGCTATAGTGTCAGGCACCCCCAGTTTTGGCTCGGAGCATCTCCTTCTCTCCCCGCTGTGCCACGGGGCTGGAGGTGCTGCCGCTGCCCGGGGTCGGAGAGCTCAGGGAGAGCAAAGAGCAGGTGGAAACACTCGAGCAAGGGCGCATTTGTTCCTAACCACGGTGGTTCCCTTCTGCCACCTCCCCTGAACATCGAAAGAAATCTCTGCTTTCCATTTTCTCTGTTTCTTCGGGCATCTCCGCCTCCCTCGCTCATTTTCTGACTTATTCTCTTTGGAGAATAACGGAAACGGCGGAATAGTGGGAAAAATGCCCGCAGGGGCTTGTCTTCCCGCAGCTGCGCAGCCAGAGATGTCACAACCCCCTTGGCTCCCGGGGCTGGGACCACAGGTCGCAGCGGTGGGACGGGCACGGGGGCTTCGGCATCGTGTGCCCGCTCGTGGTCCTTCCCCACCCTCCCCAGGTCCTGGAGGGGTCTCCAGGTGATGCCCGCTCCTATGGGGGAATTCTCAGGGCTTAGATCCCACCCGCTTGCCCTTGGCAAACTCTGCAGGTCCCCCAGGTACCGAGCCCTTTCCTTGGGTGGGACCTTCCCGTTGAGCCCTGATTTTTCCCCTCCTGGGCTTGGGTTAAAACCAAAAAAATGCCTCTATTGAGCAGCTGCACCTCAACCAGCTTCAGCCCTGCAGCTTCTGCTGCAGGGGGGGGATAAATTCAGTGTCAGACGAGGTCACTGCTGGTGGGGATGGAAGGAGACGGGGTGCTCGCTCCCCTTCCAACACCCTCCTGCTTGGGCATCTTATCGGGGTCTGATCGGGCTCGGGTGCCAAGCTCCTTATCGAGGCTCAACCATCAGTGGCGAGAGAACCTGAGGCTGGGGAATTTTCCCCGCGGCCTGTTTGTGTGCAGAGATAACCCCAGCCATCAGATACCCGCTCCGGGCTGCGTGCCCTGATACTGGCACTGCTGCTGCTGCCCGGCGAGGCGGCTCATCCTGTCCTCAACGGGGTGGAGGTGACAAAGGGTGGCTGGAGACGAGCTCCCCGGCGCCCCCGTCCCCAGGGGGGCCATGAGGAGCGTCCTCTCCAGCAGCTTGATCCCGGTCCAAGCCCGCTCGCGGCAAGACTAAACACTTGCTTAGCAAAGCTGCCGACGAGGGTCTCGGGGGACCGTGGGGATTTGTCATCCAGGACGCAGCTCCTGGGCCAGCGGGAGCTCTGGCGGTGTCGCACAGTGAGCGGCTTCGCCGGGGGGTCCGGATCCAGCCCCCGCCCTCCCCGCTGCGCCGCCGGCTCGTGCCAAGTCCCCCGCAGGGCACGGAGGAGCCGGGCTCTGCGAAAGACGCGGCGTTCATCTCGCCTCCAGCCCATTGTCTTGTTTATTTGTTACGGTTGGTCTTCAATTAGGAGTTCGGGCCGCTCGTTCGGGGCAAGGGCTGTTCCTTCCCGTGTGAGCGTGCGGTTCCTGCGTCGCCGCGCTGTGATGTGGTCGGGGGCCCGCAGGAGCATCTGCTATTGCAGTAACAGTGCCCGGGGACGAATGCGTTTCAGATGGGCTCAGCTCTGTGCTTTCCGTGCTCGGGCCAGCGGCCAGCTGGGGACGGTGAGAAAGAGCCTCTGGCCAGCCCCATGGACGCGATGTTCCCCTCCGCGGGGACCAGCCTGGGGTCTGGGTCCTATAAAGAGGCCGGGCATGGCGGGGAGCTGCTGTGGGCAGTGCGAGCCTCCCAGCGCGGCGTTTCCCAATAAAAACAGCCCTTGGGGGCACCTCGGGGGTGGAGAAGTGGCCGTGTGCTCCAGCGGGTCCATCCCCAGCGTGGGGCGGTGGGTGCAGGGGACTGCGGGCTGCTCCGCTGGGATACCCAAGTGGTACCCGGGCTTGGTGTCCATGGGGCTGCCCACCTGGGGATGCCGGCGGTGGCGCACACCCCGAGGGAGCAGCGCGGGCACCGTGGCCGCTCGCAGGACCCTGGGACCGCACCTGCAGCGAGTCCGGTCTGGCTGATGGCCCCGGGGCAGCGGCGTGGACCCGTCCGGCCGGGTTACACGGGGAGTGAGTTAGCACATGATGCGCGCCGCGGGGCCAAGGGCTGAGGTCAGTCAGGCACACCCAGGCAGCGGCACTGACTTCACCGCGGGCAGGAGCGGCTCCTCACGTACCGCGCTCCCCCAGGGCAGCGCTGCCTCGCGGCTCGGGGACTGCTCGCTGATGGTCAGAGCGCTCCGTTATCGGGGCGAAGGCACCGCTCTCATGACAGCAAGCTGGCTCTCCGGAGCTCCCCCCCCCCCCTCCATCCTCACCCCCCCCTCCTTGGCTTTTACCCCGGCCAAAATAGTTTCTCCAGTCCCATATCCAAAAGGGAACCGCTAATCAGGTCCCGATGGTCCCGCCGTGCCGGTTCGCCCCGGTGTTCGCAGGCCCTGCGTCCCGTCCCGCTCGTGGGGCTGGCCAGCTTCCCCCGAACGCCAGCTGGGTGGGATCGGAGGCTGGCTGATGTCAGCGCGAGCCCGTCCATCTCCCCGGGGTCTGGGATGGCCGCGGAGCACGGGGCGAAGTGTCCTGGCCAGTGCGATGGCACGAGCTGGGGGCCGCCTTCGGCCCCGGCCCAAAAGCCCCGGGAGGAGGCGAGGGATGGGGATTTTTTTGCAGTTTTGGGTCCATCACGAGCCCGTCTGCACTTCAGAAGTAGCCACGTTTCCAGGGAAGGAATGGTTAATCCCCGCCCGCCGCTAATGAGCCTTAACTGGGAATGACCCGACACCAGGGAGAAGTGAACCCATTGTCCTCGCCTGCGTTTGACTGTCTTCCAGGGAGACTCATGAAACGCAGAGCCCGGGCGTGAGTTCCCAATTTGTGTCAGGAGGCTCTGATTTATTGTATTTATTTATTTTTGCCATCTGGTTGAGGAGGGACGTTGAACGCAAGCGTGAGAAATCCAGATGTGCACAGCTCCTCGCCGCCGCGCTCGCTCGCCGAGACCTCGTCCCCGAAGCGTGCGGCGCTTCCCAGCTCCCGGCCCCGCAGCCCTGGTCCCGAGCCCCGACCCTCGAGCACGTGGGGACGGGACTGGTGACACCCCCGGGCACCTGCTGCACCCCCGGCAGGGCTGCGCCGTGAGTGTGGACGTGGCAAGCAGGGCGAGCATCCCACTGCAGCGATGATGGAGCCTGGATGTCCAGCCTGGGACTGGGGTGGCGAGACCTTGGCCGCACCCTGACCCCGTGCCAGTAGCCCTGGGGACACCCAGGTGTCCCCAGACACACGGTGGCCCTTGCAGCCACCACGGTGCCAGCATGTGCTGCGGGACCTGGCCCTGCTGCGTGGTGCCCATCCCAATGGGATGGAGGCTCTTGCTCTGTGCCCTGCCCCATCCCTGATTTTTGGGGGGCTTGGCTGCTGTTTGATGATGAATTTTCCCATGGCGTGGCTGGAAATGGGCTGGGGGCCATCCTGGGCACCCCCTGGGGTGGTGACAGCAGGGTTCCAGGGGACACCCGGGTCCCCTGCTTTGTGGCAGGATGGGGGTGGTTGGTGACAGCCACATTGTGCCCGTGGGGACCTCTGGGGATACCGGTGACGTTTTGGGGCTCAACCCCGTGCTGGCTCTGCAGCCGGGCAGAGCAACCCAGTGGGGCAGAGCAAGAGGGCTTTTTTGGGGGCTTTTCAATTTTGATGATTATTTTTTTTGTTGGGGCTCCTCCGAGACACGAGAGATGATCACACAGGATCTTAGCTCATCCGCTTCTCTGTCTCATGCCTGGGAGGTTTGGCGGGAGGCCCGAGGGCTCCGGAGGAGGAGGAAAATTTCATCATCCCGCTCCAACGTCTCCTGGATAATCAGCCCCTTGTTAACCGGTGCGGCCCCATGCAAGAGGACCGGCGCACTGCTGGATCGTTAGGTGGTCTTGGCCTGGGCGAAGCTTTTCAGAGCCTCTCCCAGGGCTGCCTGGGAGACTTGGAGGCGGCTGCAGCTTTACCCGACCCCCCCACCGTACACGCTCGCTGCCTTCCCTCGCCTCTTCTCGCTGGGTTTTGGCATTTTCCAGCACCCCTGGGTCTGTCCGCGCAGCATCTTTGGCACGGACCGAGCGCACTGCAGGGCTCCCTGCTCCTCTTGCACGCACCCTCCCGGTGCTTGGCGGCTTCAGGGAGCCTCAAAATCAAAATTGAAGCACCCCCGGGGGAAAATCTCTTAGTGCTAGGGCAGTAGTGGCAGCCAAAAAAGCAGCCGTCCCGCAGGAGATGGGGAGGGAAACAGGAGCAAGGGGGCAGGGAACGGCGACCCCCAGCCCTCGGCGGTGCTCGGGGGGTCTCTGGGGCAGCCCTGAGGGCATTTTGGGGGAGAATTGGAGCCACAGTGGTGTTTGACGAGGCAAAGAGGAGCTGAAGACGATCTTTTTGTCTTCTTTTATTTAAAAAAGAAAGGAGTAAAAGTATAAAAAAATAAATATTTAAATAAAATTCTATACATATATATTACCACAGATCTTATTAATAATTATTATTATTAACAATAATATTAAAAGTCAGCTCCTAGCGCTCGGCGCACGCGAGGCTTTCCACTGTGCCAATAAATACCCTTGGCCACCCGGCCCCGGGGTCCGTCCCTGCGTCCCCATGCCAGCCCCAAAACCCCATCCATGCAAAACCCAGCCCCGGGCCGGGCCGTACATTTGGAGGTGCCCAAAACCCTTCCCGTGAAACCAGTGCTTTTCCAAAACAGTGGGATGCTCCCTGGTGTCGTGGCCACCATCCCCGGAGGGTGGCCTCATCCCAGGTGGCGGGACCCAGCCCTGGCCACCGCAGGTGCCCCCAGTTCAGCCCCATTTCAGAGGGATCCAGCCCCAAAACATGCGGCGGGAGCGCATCCCCGTGGCCCTGACAGCTACAAGGGGATGCAAGCCCTGCACTCCCTGACCCCCATCCTTTTCTCCAGTGGAAGCGGGGGCTTTTGGTCGGCCCTGGAGGCCAACAGGCAGAATTGAGTCACCTTTTCTCTGTTTTTCAAAAAAATTTGCTAGGCGCTGCAAGCCAAGGGGCCGAACGCCCCGTTTCCCCGTGGTGCTGCGGAGGGGACGCCGGGGTGCAGGGGACAGAGTCCGGCCCCACAGCCCCGTGCGGTGCCTGCACCCTCGGGTGGACGGGAGGGTCCTCGGCCCTGCTCCGTGCGGGAAGCGCTGCTGCAAAGGAGCAAATAAATTAAAGCATGGAGAGGATGGAGAGGGGGGGGCCCAGGGCACAGCATCAGCAGGAGGTAATAAATAGGAAGGCGAGAGGTGAGGAGGAGGCAGTTCTCGGGGGGGTCTTGCTCTGCCGTGCTGTGAAATGGGCGCAAGGCAGCGCGGGGAGGTGCCCTCCGCTGTCCTTCCCGGGGGCGAGAGGAGCTGGGGTCCGGGGGGGCTCACGCGGGGCTGAGATGAGGTAGCAGGATGCGAGCCGCCTGGGCGATGACCTGCACGTATTTCCTGAGCACCTGGCAGCCCTGCTGCTTCTTCTTGAAGGTGCTCTTGCCCTTGCTGCTCTCCCCGTAGCTCACGTCCACCTGGAAGACGTTGTAGTTCTTGCAGAGGAGGCAGGTGAGGTTGGAGATGAGGCCCCGCGTGGTTTTGGTGGTGTTGTGGAGCCGGTCCAGGAGCTCCTTGGCGGTGGGGTTGAGCTCCTCCTGGTCGCGGGTGATGTTCCCCAGCGAGGCGTTGAGGAAGGCGAAGAGCTTGTACATGGCCACCATCACCTCCTTCTTCTCGCTCGTCCGGTTGACGTGGAAGGCCGGGAAGAAGATGCCGCCGGGGTTGCAGAGCTTCTCGCTCTCGCTGCTGAACGGCTCGCCCTGGCACTTCAGCTGAGGGGGGGAGAGGCGAGCGTCACCCCGGGGCACCCAACCCCTCGTGTCCCCCCCTATGGCCACCGGCTCGCACCGATTTGGCCACCCTCGCTGTGCGCCCCCCTCCCCAAGCTCCGTCCCCGCGGGTGTGCACTCACGTAGAGGCTGAAGAGGTCCTGGGCGGTGGCGTTGAGCAGGGCGACCTGCTTGCGGGTCTGCTCGTGGACGTTGGCACGGCACAGGCTGTTCCCGGGGCAGCCAGGGCCGTTCACCAGCAGCGCCCGGCCGGCCACCGGCCTCCGCTGCAGCAGGAGCAGGGCCACGAAGGGCACGACGCCTGTGGGAGGGGGGGGGGGACGGGATAGAGGCGACTTCAGCGACCCCGCGGGGATCCCCCCCAACCCGGCACCGACCCCACGAGGCGAGGGTCTCCCCGCTTCGCCTCCCCCTCGCCCCTCACCTGCCCCCCGGCCGGGGCTCCCCCGCCTCCCGTCCCCGCGGGGCGCCCCGTGGCATTCCCACATTTCGCAAGCGGCCCCGGTGACGACCTGTGGGCTTTAATCAAATATGCAAAGTGATTTCCTCCCCGTTATCCTCCCGCTGCTGCTGGAGCGAGGCCCCACCCCAGCCCCGGCTGACTCAGCAGGGGCTCCCGCAAGGAAACCTGCCTCGGGGCCGGCCTCCGGCCCCCCCCTTGGCCCCCGCGCTGCCTCAGTTTCCCCGTCTGCGAAGTGGGCGCAGCCGTGGCGGGGAGTGGCCGCGCAGCTGCTGGAGCCGCCAGCCAGGAAACCCCTGGATGAGGATCCAGCAAAAAGCTCGAGCCTCTGGGTCACCCCGGTGGGGTGACAGCGGGGTGCCGCGACCCCCTTGGCACCCCCAAAACGGGTGTCCCCTGTGCCGGGAGGAGAAGCCAAGCTGGGTGCTTGAGTGCCAAGCTGGCACTGAGCTCGGTGTCACCCGTCCCCAGCTCCTGGCGATGGGGTGCCCCAGGGGGTCCCCAGCAGGCACCCCAAGGACTTGTTCCCACGTGGTGCCCCCGGGGGCTGCTGCCGAGCAAAGTCCCCGGGCTCTGCCAAGCGCCGAAGCTGTCCGCACTTGTAAGAGCCTCCGCGTTGCCGCAGCTCCCAGGTAATACAATAATCGCTTTATTTACCCTCCTGCAGCTACACCCCGTGCCCAGATGGGAAAGGACTTACCTGGGCGTGTCGCCATCCCCAGCCCGACGCTGCTCCCATCCCACGCACCACGGCGGGGAGGAAGGGGACCGAGCCCCCAAAGGGTCGGCGACGGCCCCGTTCCCCCCGGCACGGCCCCCAGCCCCTTTTCCTCCTTGTGCCCATTTCACAGGCGGGCAGAGCGAGGCCGGGTGCACGTGTGCGGGGCCCCGGGGCTGGCGTTACCCCGGCCGGAGCGGAGCCGCACGCTCCCAAACCCTCCCGCGCTTGGCAGCTTCCCCAACCCTCCCTCGCTCCCAATTAAGCAGCGGACCCAGAAGGAGGAAAAGCAAGGAGAAAAAAAAAAAAAAAGGCAAAAAAAAAAAAAAAAGAGAGCAAGATTTCCCCCCACACACCCCAGCGCTTTTTTTTTTTTTTTTTTTTCTTTTTTTTGGAATTCTTTAGAGTTATATAAGTGGCCAGATGTTGGCCGAAAAGCGCCAGAAAGGCATTTGGCTCCCCGCTGCCAATTCCCAGGGATGCTAACCCCGGGGAAAAAGCGGCGCGTCGGGAGGGCTGCGGGCTTCGCCGCGCGGCGCATGTTTGTTTGCTTGGACATCAGCGAAATCAGAAAGGGGTGGGGAAGGGGAGAGAAAGGGGGGAGAGGAGGAGGGGAGAGGTTTGCCAAGGATGGGTTTTTGGGGTTGGGTTGGATTTTTTTTGTTGTTTTGTTTTTTTTACCTGCTGGAATGAACTTCATTGTGAGCTGTGTCCCGGGAGCAACTTAATAGAGATTGGTGTTGGCAGAGGACGTTTTCAGAAATTCATGTTCATACTGGGGGACTTCTCTGGGTTTATATACCGGTCCTCCAGTGAGCCTGTGTTGTAAGAAAGGGGAGGGGGGGTGGCGAGGGGGGGGGGGAAGAAACAGAGAAAGACTATCATTACTTCTATTGAAACTAAATCAGGAAGTAAAGGGCTTTGAGACGAATCGTGAATGATTCTTAGAAATAAACTTCTGATAAAGTTGATGTCACCAGGATTGCGGTTTTGTTTTTTTTTCACGCACGGGATGAGTGTGGGGAGGGATTATGGGGGTGGGGGGGGAGGTTGGCGGGCGGCTCGGGGGGGGAAAAGAAAGCGCCCGAGCGCGGCACCCGAGCGCGTGGGTCCCATTGGGCGTCGCGGGGTTGGCGTTGGGGGGACGCCTCGACGCACGGTGCCGCACGCTCTGGCCGTGACTCATGTTTCCGCAAGCACTTTCACCCCCAGACCCCCCCCCCCCCCCCCCGGGCCGGTGCTTCCCCACAGAGGTGGCTGCGCTCAGCCCCCGGGAAAAGCGTGCAGAAAAAAATAACCCCCCAAAAAGAAAAAGAAAAAAAAAATAAAGGAAAAAGATTTTTTTTTTTCCTTCTTTTTCTTTTTTCTTGTGGTGGAGGTGGAATGTGGCTGTGTCCCCCCCCCCGGGTCAGGGGATGGATGCGGTGCCCTCGGCATCCCCGGTCCAGCAGTGATCCGTCCACTCTGGGGGCTGCGAGCGGAGCACACGCACCCCTGGCGCAAAGGGCGTTGGGGAAAGAAAAAGGGGAAAAAAAAAAAAAGGAAAAAAGTAGTTTTTAAATTTTTTTGTTTGCTTTTTTTTTTTTTGAATTCTTTTTCCACTGGGCTAAAAGACAAACCCACCCGGCGGCAACAGCCAGCCCGGCCCCCGGGGTTAACCCTTGCGTCGGCCCCGCACGCCTCTGGAGAGGGTGCCAGCACCCGTGTCGGTGTGACACTCGTGTCCCTGTGCCACCCGTGTCCCTGTGCCACCCGTGTCCCTGTGCCACCCGTGTCCGTGTCCCCACTTGGGGGGGACCCCGTCCACCATCTCCCTCTCCCCGGGATGCTTCGGGACCGTTCGCTCCCCAATCTGGGCTCGAAGCAGGTTAAAGGCGCTTTCATGTTTCTCCCTCGCTGCGTGTATATATATATTTATATTTTTTTTTTTCTCTGGGGGCACGCCAAGCTGCAACTTTTAATCAGGTTTAGCAAGTTTGTGCCCTGTTTGTGCTGGCAGCGTGCAACCTGCCGGGGTGACAGTCGAGGAACGGTGACACAACAGCCTGCGGCCACCCCGCTGCGCCCTGGGGGGACACGGAGGGGGACGTGGGGACAGCCCGGTAGCGCTGGGTGTTGCGTGGGGCAGGTGAGAGCCTCAGCGCCAGCACCCTTGGGAGCCCATCCTGCCGTGTCTGCCTGTCCCCAAATCGCCATGTCCTGGGGATGCTGCTGCGGTCGGTGCCACGTGTGGCGTGCGCAGCGTCACGGCCACAGCTCCGGCGACGCTCGGCGCATCCCCCGGGCAGGAAAGCACCCCTGGGCATCATATTTTAGAGCAATCCCCCAAAAGATAATAAAAAGAAGATAACTTCCCCAAAATATCCCTCCTCTCCCCCGCAAAAAAGAGGATTTCAAATATATATATATATACCCAGCATTTTTGCCACGAGAGCCATCCGTCCACACGAAGCTCCAGCTCCAAGTGGCCGCAGGTGGCCGGGTGCCGCTGATTTATTGGGGCACCGGGGCGCCGGCCCCGGCATGCTGCACAAGCCCGAGCTGCCGTGGGGGCTCGGCGCGTGGTTCCCCCTCCCCGAGACGGGCAGGGCAGCGCGGTGACTCAGGGGCTCGGGCAGCACCGGCCGCCGGATCCGGTGTCGCCCTCGGCGTCACGTAGCCACCGCCTGCCTCAGTTTCCCCGTCAGCGAGGCAAGGAGGGCGGGAGTTTGTGCTGGTGCTCCGCCAGTGAAATCCCAGTTTAGCCTTACTGGGATGCTGGGAGAAGACTCGGGAAAGAGGGGGGGTCACGGGACAAAGAGGTTGCAAAAATGGATGGGGATAAAGGGAGGTGCACGGGATGGGGAGGACGAGGCTCGCCGCAGCCTCGCTCGAGGCTCGTGCCGGTGCGCAGCGAGCAGCATCGCGGGGATAAATTCATTCTTAATTAACCGGATCGCTTAATTAGCTGGGAAACTGGCGTTTCTTCATTAACAGCAGCAGGGAAATCTAGGGGTGGGGCTGTCGCAAGCCCCAGCTCCGCCGTTTCCTGCCCTTTCCCTGAATTTCTCTGCAGGATCTGGCCCCTGGGGATGCGGGGATGTGCACTTGGGGCTGATTCACCTGCGGGGAGCTCCCGGCTCCCAGCTGCACGTGGGTGCGGGGGGGGACGGGGGGACGAGCTCGGTCATCCCCATGCCCCCCGAGCTCCTGAATCACCCCCAGGTTCTCCGGCCAAACTAATTAAAAAAGGAGGAGGAAATCGGGGAAATGACCCATGCAGAAAAATGGGACTTTCCCAGCACCTGAGCTGCGGAAGATGGGAGCGGGGAGCTGGGCTGAGCTGTTAGGTTTAATCCCATGCAACACAGTTAGTTATATAGGCTCCCCCATAGGTTCCCCTATAGGAAAACCTGCCCCCACCCCATCTGCAGGCACAGCCGGGGCAGATTGCTGATGGCATCCAGGAAATTTGGCTTTTCCAGTGGCTTCTGCTGGCCGCCCCGACGCCCCCTCCGTGCCCCGAGCAAGGGGAGGTGACCCGGGCAGGGGGTCCCTGGCGGACGCCCACCCGCCCCTGGGGATGATGCACTCGGAAAAATCCCAAAAAGAGGGAATGGGAACGTGCTCGGCGGCGGGCAGTGACACAATCCTATCGGCATCTCGGCCGGGGATGGTGGCCCCGCTCCCACGCGACGGCTGGGATTTTTTGGGGGGGTGATGGGGAAGGGGGGTGTGGGGGGTGTGTGGAGGGGGAATTGGCCCTAAAACGCGGCTGGGTGCTGGAGTGGGGAGGGGCAGAGAGGTGGGGCACGGGGCTGGGTGATCCCACGTGTAGGGCCAGGGCCCCAAATTGGGGCTTCTTGGGGCTGGGTTTGGCAGGCGAGGCTGCGGCAGGCGCTGCCCTGCTGAACAGTGCTCTCTGCTGTCCGAGCCTGTCACCGCCACGGGACACGGGGCACGGGGACATGGGGACATGGGGACACAGGGACACGGGGACACAGGGACACGGGGACACGGGGACACGGGGACACAGGCAGTGCTTTTCACCCCGCTCCTGCCCCGTCCCCATCCATGACCACCCCTCCATCCCCATCCCATCCCGCCCGAGCCATCAGGGTCCCGGCAGCCCCGATGTCCTCGTCCCACGCTGTCCCCAACAGGGGACACACAGGGATGCCAGCAGCAGATGCAGCCCCCTGGGGGGGGTCTGGGTGGTGCTGGGTGCCGGGGGGGCTGAGTAAGTTGTGAGTAAGGCGGCACCCCTGTGCCGGGGAAGCCCGGGCTGAATAACTGGCAGGGAACGAATTCCCCTTTGAGTCACGGAGGGACCTTTTGGGCTCGGATCCCTGTGCCCCACCAGTGTCACCCGCCATGGGTGTCACCCCACCGGTGTCACCCCCATGGGTGGTGGGCACCCTGCTGCTTGCCACCATCCCAGCCAGGCTGATGGTCCCCATGGATTTGGGGACAATGAGAAGCGCCCTTGGGGACAGGGAGCCCCAAAGACCAGTCCCCACCATGGGGTGACTCCTCCGAGAGTCACCAACCTGTGAGAGGTCGGGCTGATGGGGATACTGGGGACACGGGGTCAGGGGCCACCCCACACCTCGCCCCACCTGCAGGGTTGGCCCCGAAAGCCCCTTCCCAAGGAGGTTTTCCATCATTCCCCGAGTCCTGCAGCCCCGCATTTGGGCTGGGTGCTGGATCCTGCTCCCCTGCGCACCGAGGGGCTGACGCTGCCATCAGCATCGCCCCCATCCCCGGCACTGTCCCCAGGTCCCGGAGGGGGAGCGTCACCCACCTTCGCCCTCGAAGCCCATCCAAGCTGCCTCCTTCTTGGGTGGACGGCAGCTGGCGGGAGGTGGCACCACGGGCCGGCCCGGGACTCTTCATGGTGACATTGTCCCCCCCGGAGGGTCCCCAAACGGCGGCGGTGGCCGTCCCGGCAGCGGTGCAGCCTGCAACTGAGTCAGTGCCGCCGGCACGGCCGGGCACAGGCACGGGCACACGGCAAGGAACGAGTGACTCTGCGGTGCCACATGACCGGGTCTTAGGATTTTTGACTCAGCGGGGCCAGGGCTTGGTAGCAGCGGGCCCCCACCACGTCCTTGGCCACGTGGCAGGGACAGGAGCGCTCGGCACGGCGACGCCAGGTGCGGTGCCAGGGCCGTGCCGTGCCGCGGCGCTTCGTGCCGTGCCATGCGCCCTGCAGGCACCTCCATCGTGTGCCGTGCTGTGCCACCCCGTGCTGTGCCACGTGCCATCATGTGCCACGTGCCTCATTCCCTGCCCCGCTGGTGCCACACTGTCTGCCATGCCGTGCCATGCCGTGCCACACGTCCCACCGTGCTGTCACCCCATCTCATGCCACACCATGTGCCACACTGTGCCGTGCCACTTCCCATGCTGCCACGTCGTGCTGCCATCACATGCCGTGTGCCACACCGTGCTGTCATCCCATCCCAACCTATCCCATCCCCTGTCCCACACCGTGCTGTCATCCCGTGCCATGTGCCTCCCCGTGCTGTCATCCCGTGCCATGTGCCACCCCGTGCTGTCATCCCATCCCATGCCATGCCCCACACTGTGCTGTCATCCCATGCTGTGCCATGTGCCACAATGCGCCACCATCCCATGCCACGCACCACCCCACGCCACGTCCCACATCGTCCCCATGCTCTGCAGTTTCCCTCCAGCCTTGTCCCCCACTTTGTCCCCCCGGGCCTCTTGTGGCCCCACTTTCCTTTCAGGTTATTGCTAATCAGTTTCTGAATTTGTTCAGGTTTCGCTGTGCCCTCACCACATCACCACGCTCAGGAGAATTCCTGGCAGCACCAGACCCTGCAGCCCTGAAAAGCCCCAGAAGCACTCGCAGGAATGAGTCGGTTCCTGCGCACAGCAAACCCCGCGGGCTTTTCTCAGGGCTGGGAGAGGCACAGGCACCCGGACACACGGACAGCCGGACACATGGACACACAGACACACACACACACAGGTGCCAGGCCAGAGGCAGCAGCCCACGGGCCGAGGTCAATGCTTTATTTCCATCTGCTGTGATATAAAAATAAGGGGGCACCACCTGGGCAGGATGGCCCGGTGGTGCCCTTCTCCCAGTACAAAATAATATTTAGATTCATAAATAAAACATCGTTACCTTTACAGCTTAACACAGTACAAAAAAAAAAAATAACAAAAATAGATATATATATAATTTATATATTAAAAAAGGTATCCTTAAATATTTCTCCCAGGTGCAGGGATATATTAAATTAAACCGATGGTTTCAATAAATAGGGGAGCTGCACCACTGTCACGTATAAGTTACTGGGGGACCGGTGCCCACCCGCACAGTGCAGGGCTCGGGGACGCTGGGGACACCGAGGGCCCAGGGGTGGGCACGGGGATGCTGAGGGGACACAATGCAGGGACATGAGGCATGGGGACAGGCACGGGGACAGCAGGCGTGCAGGGATGAGCACAGGGACACTGCGCTCACAGAGTGCACGGGGACACCAGGCTCATGGGGACACCAAGCTCACAGGGACGCCAGGCTCAAGGAAAGCCACCCTCAGATGCTCTCTGGGTTCAGCGAACCCCTCAAGAGGCAGGCAGGGGGTGACATATCGGTGACAAGCCGGTGGCACAAGCGGCCAGGGTCGGTCTGGGGCTGCACCCTGCCTGCGCCGGGCGTGCGGGTGCCGTGCGAGCGGCCCCTTAGTCAGGCCGTGTCACCAGACCCATTGAATCACTGGAAAATCAGGCAGGGCTGGCAAACGGGGGACGTCACCAACCCAGAGTGACCCCGCTGGCCGATGTTGCCCTCCACACGCGGTGGCACCTGGGGGACGTCTGTGCCAGCGCCAGCCGCGCGCCGGGCTCTCCGCATCCAACCGCAAGCTTCAGGGCGCTGGGGACAGCTCGGGTGACAGCAGCGGGGGTGGCAGGGGCTCCCTAGGACCTCGCTGGCCGCCGGCCTCGCCGCCGGCCTCGCCGCTGCTGCCTCCTCTCCTCCCGGCGCGCCCGCAGCCCTCGCTCCTCCAGCTGGGTGCTGAGCTGCTCCGTGAAGCGTGCGTAGCTCCAGAGGATCCGGCACCCCTCCAACTTCTGCTGGAAGACTCCGGTGGCCGCCGGCAGCCGGGGCAGGGTGGGGACGGTGGGGACGATGCCGTGGGCGTGGAGGACTCCCTCCAGGTTGCTGAGGAGGCCCCGCACCTTCAGGCGGGTGCTGTCGAGGCGGCGCAGGATGGGGGCCCCGGGGGGGTGGAGGTCGCGCTGGTGCTGGCTGATGCCCTGCAGCGCCCGGTCCATGCGGGCCATGGCCCCGTGCAGTGCCCGCAGCCCCCCGGTCCCCGTCACCACCGTCCCCCGCAGCCACTCCAGCGAGGCGTTGGTGCGGCACAGCCGGGTGAAGGCCAGGTGCTGCTCCTGCTCCTGCCCATGGGAAAGGCAAGGGGTCAGCGGGGGCTCGGCAGCGGCAGCGAGACCACCCCCCCCGCTGACACGCTAAGCGAGGGGGGCTTTCGCCCCCTTTTTTCCTGCCGTCTGGCGAGGTGGCACTCACGTAGAAGAAGAAGAGCTCCCGCGCGTCCTCGGCCATGTGCCGCACCAGGGCGTGGATCTGCTGCAGGGTCGGGGGCTGCGCGCTCCGCGCTGGCACGGCCCAGAGGAGGAAGAGTCCCTTGGCCACGGCTGGGGAGGAAGAGGAGGGAGATGGTGGAGACGGGGGAGCCTCTCGCTGCGGGGCAAGGGGACGCGGCGACACGTGGGGTGGGGATGGGGAGCAGGGATGTCCGTCCCAGGTGCCCATCACCCTGGCGCCAGGCCTGGAGCAGAGGGCTGCACGTGCCGGGTATGGTGACAAGGTGCCCCGTGGTGCCGCAGGGACAGGGCAGCCACCGTGCCGGGTGCCAGCTGCTGGGACCTGCCAGGGCCTTCGGCATGAGGAGGAGGAGGAGGAGGATAAGGAGGAAGGCAAGGATGAGGAGGACAGGGACGAGGAGGACAAGGATGAGGAGGACAGGGACGAGGAGGACAGGGACGAGGAGGACAAGGATGAAGACGACAAAGAGAAAGAGGAGAAGGAAAAGGAGCGTTAGGAAGAATATTAGGAGGAGGAAGAGGAGGAAGAAGGTGCCCTCGAGGCATCGAGGAGCGCAGACAGCTCCCGCTGGCCCCAGCGGTTGCCCAAGCAGCTCCCTGTCAGCACAGGCCACCGCAGGGCCACCACAGACTGGGGACAGTGGTGGCACTCCTGGGTCTGTCCCCTCAGTCCCAGCAGGTGCTGCTCCAGCCCCGCTGTCACCTGCAGCCACGTGAGTTCAGCACTGGAGCAGCACCCAGCTCCCAGCCCTCCCCAGCATGGATTTTGGGGGTATTTGGGGGCTCGGGGGACACACCAGCCAAGCAGGGTGACCCCATCCCTCTGCCACCTTGCTCCCCGCTCCCCACATCAACCCCAAACCACATCCCCCCACCCGCCCCCTCCCGGCGCCCCTTCTTCCGCAAAGGTGCCCGGGGAGCCCCGGGTGGGTACCAGGGGGTGGGGAGGGGGTGAGGGGGACATCCCAAAACGGCGTGCCCAGGGGCAGGGGAAGCACCAGGGCCCTCCCGGGGTGGTGTGCGAGCGAGAGGGCAGTTGTGGGACGCAGCCTACCTGCCAGCACGCCCAGGGGCCGCGCGTGGCGCCGCATGTCCGGGTGCCGGGGGGGGGGGAGCGGTGCCGCAGGGCGCGCGAGCGACTTCCTTACTGGTCGGCGAGGGGGAAGCTCGCCTTTTAACGTGCCCCGATTAGCCACCACCTCCGAAGGAGGCACCCGGGCCCAACGTAAAGAAATGGAGAAGTGAAGCCATGACTTGGGGGCCAATGAGCGGGGTGAGCCGGGCCGGGGAAGGGCGGGGGGAGGAAACGAGGCCGGTCGGACGATGGTTTTGTTCTTCGATCAAGTTCCTCGAGGGAGTCCTCTTGGGTCCAGCCCGCCCGTGGGGCGAGCCGGATGCCCCGGGGCACGGCGTGGGGCTTCTTAGAAAAGCGCCCCATTGAGTCACCGCCATCCTTCTGCGCTCAGCCGGCGTTCGTTAAACTGAAAACCAGCCTCCGAAACCGAAATGCGAGCGGCGGAGGCCGTTGGCAGCATCTAGGGCTCGGGCAGGTGATGCTCGCCCCAAATCTGAGCCCCACGATGCTGCAGCAGGAGGGGGACGGGTGGCACCACAGCCCCGCACCCACGGGTGCTGCTGGAGGCTGGCACCTCGCCGCCCCGGCTCGCACCTCTGGTGGAGGTGTGAACGGCTCCGACCGCACCGCGGTGTCACCAAACCGTGCCATGCCCGGGGTGTGGGCTGTGGTGGGGCCGTGGCTGAAAATAGGCCCCCGGGATGGATGGGGATGCTCCAGGAGATGCTGTCCGTCCGTCTGTCTGTCTGTCTGCTCTCCCCAGGCCTGGGGTGGGCGATGGGGAGCGGGGAGGACCCCAGGGCACCCCCAACACCCGAAGCCGGGGTGTGCAGGGATGCTAACGATGGGGAGCAGGGGACACCAGCACCCATGGGTGCCCCTGCGCTGGCGGGGAGGGGTGAGACAAGGGCGAGGCAGGCGGGACTGATCCGTTCCCCTTGCTAAACCGCCTGCAGCAGCCGGCGCTGAGCCTCCGGCGGGGAAGGAAATGCAATCGGCGGGGTCAGCGGCAGCGCCGGGGCTGCGGGCACTGCCCAAAGGCCGAGGTCAGCAGGAGGAAGCCCGGCACGGGTATGGCCCCAGAGCTGCTGGAAGCACCCGGTGCCAAGCCCCCGGCACCCCTGAGCTGCTCCCGCCTTGCAGTGGGGTGTGGGAAGATGCCAGCACCGACCCTATAAAAATTAATGTGTTTTTATCAGGTTTTCTTTTCACTGTAATCCATCAGGTTTTGTGAAGACTCGTGAATTCCCAGTGAATCCGCCCAGCTGGGGTGGTGCCACATGGTGCCACGCACCAGACTTGGAGATCTTCTTCTTATGGGGCTCCAAACTTTGGGAAAACCACAGATGAGGACATGACCCCCCCCTCCCCAGCTCAGTGCTCCATCAGCCTTTGTGCCACCCCCTGCCACGCCGACCCAAACCACGCAGAATGCACACTTTGCGACTCCAAATCGCGGTGATTTGTTCCCCTTCTCGTGGGTTTCAGCCCCAGAACGGGAGCTTTGGGGCACCACGGAGCCGTGCAGGGCCGCAGTGCCCTGCTCTGTAAGCACAGGAAGCTGCCCGAGGCAGAATTTGCTGTTTCAGATGGGGTGGCTTGGGCAAGGGGAGGCCACACCAGAAATAACATCTCCTTGCGAGCGGAAGAGCGCAGCAGTGACTCACTTCCAGAAGATGAAATGTTTTCTTTTCCCCAAATTCCCCCCCCCTCCCCAGACTGCCCCCAACCTGCAGAACTCCCTGCTGCAGGATGCGGGGCGGTGCTGCTGACTCTTCCTCCTCCTCCTCTTCCTCCTCCTCGGGGTGTCCCTCTGTCTGGGGACACCCGTGGGTGCTGCTGGCCAGGCTGGGCCATGCTCACGAGAGCTGGGGGCTGTGCGCAGGGCACGTCTGGAGGGACAGAGGAGCCAGAATTCCCCTCTCTCCAGGAGAAACACCTGGAGGCAGTTTGTCCATCCATCCTGTCTAGCCATTTGGCCAGTCACCCGTTGTCCTGCCCACCCATCTGTCCAGTTGCCCACCCGGCTGCCTGCCCATCCACCTCTTCGTTCCTCCAGATTCACCTACCCACCTGCACACCCCTCCACCTGTCCACCCGTCCATGCATTCATCTGTCCTTCCACCTGTACAGTCCTCCTGGCCACCCACCCACCAACCCACCCACTTTTACATCCTTCCATCTGTCCACCCAGCCACCTACCTGTCCTTCCCTGCACACGTTCATCCACTCACGTATATCCCTGTCCATCGATCTACCTGTCCATCTGTCCGTCCGTCCATCCATCCATCCATCCATCCACTTGTCCATCCAACTACAGATACATCCACCCATCCATCCATCTACCTCTCCATCCATCCATTCATCCATCCATCCGTCCATCTGTCCGTCCATCCATCCATCCATTCATCCATCCATGTGTCCATCTGTCTTTCCATCCATCATCCATCCGTCCATCCGTCCATCCATCTGTCCATCCATCTGTCCGTCCGTCCATCCATCCATCCATCCATCCATCCATCCATCCATCCGTCTGTCCATTTGTCTATCCATCCATCCATCCATCCATCCATCCATCCATCCGTCCATCCATCCATCCATCCATCCATCCATCCATCCAGTACCCGTGGTTCCTCAGGGTGCACACTGCCCAGGACCCACCAGGCGAAGCGGTCCCTCTTGGGACACCCCGCTACCTCCACCCTGCCCCTTTCCAAGCCCAGGGCTGTGCACAGGGTGCCCGCAGACCACGGCAGAGGAACGGCGCGGTCGCCGGCACCGCCGGCTGGCAGCCCTCGGGGACATGGTGCGGGGATGCGCAATACCCAACGGGGCCGAAAATAGCGCGTGTGACCGCACTGGCTGACAGCAATTTCTTCATCGCCGGGGCGCACGTCACTGATGTCTCATGACACTGGAAAAGAGAGCGAGACAGGAAAGAAAGCACCCGTGGATCTGCAGGAAGCCGAGGGCTCACCAACGCAGGCGGGGACGCAGGGGGGATGTGTGGGGAGCCCGGGTCTGCTCCCGTGCGCACCAGTGCCCGCGAGGAACCCCGCGGATATGCAGGGCGGCGATGCCAGGGCTGGTGACGACCGTCTGGAGCGACTTCCTGCCCAAAACACGTCACAGGAGCACACTGTGCCTTTTTGCTTGCTTGGGGCTCCCCGCTGGAAGACACCCCCAGGATGTTTTCGCCCCACGCATTGACCAGGCGCAGCCCCAGGGCATGCGGGGGGCACCCGGAGGCCACACGGCCCCCAGGTGAGAGCCACCTCGTTACAGCCACGGCCACTAACGAGGCTGCAGAAACGCCCCAGCCCTCACCCCATGTCCCCCCCAGACCTACAGGTCACCCTATGGTGGGGACAGGAGTGCCACCAGCACTGGGGACAGGTTCTGGGCCAGCCCCAGCTGTGGCCATGGTGTACTTTGAAAATAAATAAATTTTTAAAAAAGAAACCACCCCAAACCAACAAAAAAATAGGACTTTTATTGACATTTAAAAGTGTGTAAAAATACAGCTTGGAAAGAGCTGGGGTGTCACTGTCCTCCCCCCCACAACACACAGTGGCCTGGCAGGGGTCGGGGCCACCCCAGAGGGGACACGGGGCTGAAATGCTGCCCTAGCCACCCCCCGCAGCCCCCACTCTCAGCACTGGAGGGTTTTGGGGAGATCCCCTGAGCAGGACGGGTCCAGAACCCCCCCCCCAGGAAAGGTGCAGAGCATCACGGCCACCACCCCGCACAGACACCCAGGGTCCTGCGTCCCACCAGCCCCACGCTGTCACCTCCAGCAGGGCTGTGGCACATCACCGCTCTGTGGCACGCGTCCCCCCCCCCACAAACCTCCTCTCCTCACTCAAATCCCCCAAACCTGCTGCTCCCCCCAACCCTAAGAAAGCCGGGAAGGGACCTGAGGCAGAGGAGGGCACGGCGCTGCCCTTCGGCCTCTCCCGCGGGGATTCACAGCGGCGTGGACATCAAACTGTCACAGCAGTGCCACCGCGTCCCCCCCGCGTCCCGGGAGCGACGCTGCGCCCCCCACGGCTCTACCCAGCACCGGGGGGGGGGAAAAGGCTTAGAAATAAAAAATAGCGACAGGGCTGGGGACAGCCCTGGGCAGGAGGAGCCCACGGGGACACCGCGCTGGTCCCCAGCGGTCACCGGGTGGCACGGGGACAGGCGGCACGGGGACAGCCGGCCGCTATCTGCCGCTCTCCTGGCGCTTCTGCAGCAGCTGGATGACCTCGGTGATGCCCTCCTCGGGGACCTGCGGGGACAAAGATCCCGTTAGCCCCATGCTGGGGACACCGGGACCCTCCTGCCCGCGGTGCCAGGTGCCCCGTGGGCTCACCAAGGCATGGTCGAAGTTGAAGGTGCTGATGTAGTACGCCGAGATGTCGACGGCAGCCAGCGGCTCCGCGATCTGCGCCACGATGCCGCACTCATCTGGGGGAGGCAACGTGTCCCGTGGTGACCCCGGTGTCACCACGATGAGGAGCCACCAGGTGGCAGGGGACGCCAAAGGGAAGCACTGGCAGGGGATGCAGGGGTAGCAGCAGGGAGGGTTCCCATGCTGGGGGGGACGGGATGGGTGCTGAGATGATGGGGAGGGGGCCCAAACCCCTGCACCCCCACTGGGGCAGGGGACGCGCGCGGCGCCCACGCTCACCGAAGCCCAGGGGCTGCCCGCCGATCCTCACCATCCGCCACAGCTCCCCGCTGGAGCTGGTCAGCAGCAGGTCACTGGGGAACCTGCAAAAAAAAGGGGGGGGGATGAGTGCAGGGACACCCCCAACCCACCCAGCCATCCCCCAAAAGTGTGGGGACTGGGAGATGGCACCGGCACCTACCGCTTCTGGGTCTCCGCGTCCATCACGATGGAGATGTAGCCCTCGATGAGCGAGAAGGCGAAGAAGGTGATGGAGTCGAGGTCCTGGCCACCAGCACTGGGCTCCTTGGGGGGGCTGCGGGAGGAGCAGGAGGAGCCCGGTACGGGTTTGTGTCCCACCAGTCAGTGGGACGCAAGAAGAGTGGGTTTGGGGGCATTCCCAGAGCACCGTGGTGACTCCGGAGGGGACGGTCCCATAAGGCTGTTCCCAAAAT